ACAAAATAAATCGCCTCAAATACAAATATCACTAAATCAGACATCTTAGCCCAGACATACGTGTTAATCTAGACATGACTTAATAGAAAAAAAACTCTCAATTTAATATAGAGCCCATTTGATAACACTAAAATGGATTGAATCAACTGACTCTACTGAAACTGATTTAATGGTATGCATAATTACTTTTAAATTTTAATAGTAAGATGTTGCATTTTACTCATAATTTCCTCACATTAAAAATGTCTAAAAGTGTAGTTTTTAAAATTTCAACTATTTTCTCAATTGGACAATTCTAATTTAATAATTAAAAAAAATCAAGCATCTAGGATTCTAGGGGAAGGGATTCCAACTTAGAGATATCCTCCGATTTAAAAATAAGGATGTATATATAATAAGGAACATCCGAACATATATTCCTTAATATCCTTAATCCTGAAATTCGAAATCTAAAATATATTAAAAGTTACCAAATAAGGTGGATTTCTATATCAATGTGTAATAAAAATAGAATGTAATAATAAAATAAAAGGTATAAAAATAATTAAATAATGGTCATATATGATGACATGGCAGGCTTATGTGGCGCGTTGTATGCTCTTAAAAAGTTCCTCCTTTATATATATATATTGATTTCTGAGTCACGCACACCATAATATCCGGTGTCCTAACGTCACTATATTGCCTTTCACAGGCTGACACCATCGGTTTTTTTACAAGGAAAGTTGTTTAATTTCCGTGAGCCTGTCTGCCTTTTTTGGGAGGCGAGTACTGTAAAATCATCACGAGTCGAGATGGCGGATTACGCCACCGCTTAATGATCTGTCACCCATTACGGAACTCCCATCACACACTAATCCTACAGATCATTTTACAACAGCAACAAAAAAACACAACAATTTGTCAACGCCGTTTTCAATTTCAGTGAGTTTCTGCCTTGGTTCATCTTTTCCATTGCGGAACCTGCACCCCACGTTCTTTCACTGTCTCACCCATCAAACCTTAAACATACGCAATTCATCATCATCTACAATGTTAAGCATTCGTTAACCCCATCATCGCCACACTAATCTTCTCCATCTGATCTTTTTGGGTCTTTTCTGATCCCACCATTTTCAGCAGGCCTGCTTGAATCGATCGCAGAGAATAGATGGTTCGGGCGGTTGGAAATGCCAAAGATGAGCAAGCATCGGGTACCCATTCCCCAAAGTTTGAATCTTTCTGGTTTCTTTTCTTCCTTTTGGAATTAGGGCTTTGACTTCTCATCTTTTGTGTTGTTCTTGATCAACTTTTAGACATGGAGTTGATGAAGGAGAGGTTTGCAAAATTGCTCCTTGGAGAGGATATGTCAGGCGGCGGAAAGGGCGTTTCGTCTGCATTAGCGCTGTCAAATGCGATCACAAATACAGCAGGTATATATGCATTGGCCATACCTTTGCGCTTTCTTTCTTTTTTGCTTTCATTAACGAAAAGATTAAAAAAATTGCAGCTTCTGTTTTTGGGGAAATAAAGAAATTAGAACCAATGGCAGCAGAAAGGAAAGAGAGGTGGAGAAAAGAAATCAATTGGCTTTTATCTGTCACTGATCACATTGTTGAATTTGTTCCTTCTAACCAAACATCAAAAGATGGAACAATCTTGGAGGTATAGTACTTTACCATCTTCTGCACCTATGTATTTGGTTTATATATTTTTATAGAGTTCTTAAACAATTAATGCAAATGTTTACGTAAACTAAATGCCAAGTATGGATGGTCAAAGGGATGAGAAATTCCACATAGAGGAGCAAAATGGAACACATTTCTACATTTCACAAAAGTAGAACTCATTTAATTCTAAAATGTAATTATTAATAGTTTTATTCTTTTTCCGGAACTGAATAAATTATGTTTTTAGCAGAACATATAGATGATCTTCTTTGTGCATAAAAAAGATAATTTACTCTGCAGTAATTTCTTTTAAGGCAAAGAATGCATTTTTGACAGATTATGGTAACCAAGCAGAGAGCTGATCTCCAAATGAATATTCCAGCACTCCGCAAGTTAGACTCGATGCTCATTGTAAGAATCATTGCTGCTCTCTTCATAAGGTTTCTATTTTGTATACGGGTAACTTTGGATGCAGGGTTTTGGAGAGGGAAGTTTTGGAAGTCTTAGCATATATTTCTTTATAAATAGAATATTTCTACAAACAGATAAAAAGCGATTGAAACTTTTTATACCATTTTTAGAAAATATATCAAATATAGAGATAGAATCAATATAAAGACTATGTAATCTTGGATGGCTTAGCAAAAACACTTTTCAAGACAAACTATTTTGTAGAAACTATCAAGCTGGTGTTTTTTGTTTAGAGAGCTGGATTTTAACTGTATAAAAACTACAATAGTAATGGCTTCAATAAATGCAGCAAGCATTGCTTTCAAGTGTGCATTTCAAGTCGTTCACTCTAACCCCTTAAAACCCTTTTCTCCAAAACCCCTTCATCCAAACACACCTTAATTGATTCTTAGACACGGGGTGACCTATACAGAAATACATATATACTGATGCATATAGAACCAATCAACAGGATTGCTTAGATACCTTCAAGGATCAAAATGAGTTCTTCTATGATAATACATCAGCAAAGGATGATGCTGGTGGTGGTGTACATAAAGGCAAAAACAGCAGGAAAGATGACAAATGGTGGATACCAACTCCCAAGGTCCCTCCAAATGGATTGCCTGATTCTGCAAGGAAATGGTTACAGTCTCAAAAAGATTCTGTCAACCAAGTTCTCAAAGCCGCAATGGCCATAAATTCTCAAGTTCTTTCTGAGATGGAGATCCCAGAGAGTTATATAGATTCTCTACCAAAGGTAAGGCTATGCTTGGTAGCGTACTAGTGTGTCATGCTTTTTCTGCTTATCAGCAGAGTAAGAGTCCACTTTGCAAAAGTGAGTTAGACTGAAATTGTTGAATGAAGTTGCCGAGTTATGAATAATATGTCATATTTGGCAACTTTAGCAATTCCGGAAAAAAATGTCTCATCCCTTAACCTTATTTCACCATTTCAGAATGTGCAATAAATGAATTACGGGTAGTATTTTGCAAACAAATCTCAATGACAAGGCAAAAAAGTTGTTGTCGAATGGCGCCACTAAGTAACTGCTGACTTATTTAACTAGAATAGTTGTAGCCAAAAGCTTTTCCTTTCATAAACTTTAAGAGGTTTAGTCAAATAACACTAACCAAATGGGCCCTAAGCAATGAGGAACTCAAAACGCTTCCATTGCACTTCCTATATCATCATTTGGAAAATATATTAAGCAAAACTTATGCTTTTTGGATACTAGAATGGGAGAGCAACCCTCGGTGACTCGATATACAAGAGCATCACAGATGATTATTTTGATCCAGATTATTTTCTGTCAACAATGGGGTTGGCTTCAGAACATAAAATCCTAGAGCTTAAAAACAAGATTGAAGCCTCAATAGTGATATGGAGGCGGAAGATGAGCACCAAAACAGAAAAGTCAACCTGGGGTTCAGCCGTCAGTATGGAAAAGAGAGAGTTGTTTGAAGAAAGGGCAGAAACTATTTTGCTCATTCTCAAGCACCGCTACCCAGGAATTCCTCAATCTTCACTCGACATCAGCAAAATCCAATACAACAAAGTAAGTAAGACTTCAATATCATTAGCTACTGATAGGGATGGGGATGGTCCAGCTCCATCACAGAATATAAGACATCTTAATGGGAACTGGTTATAGCTTGTTCAGTTCTAGTGCAGCTAGAACTGATTATTCCGGGTCCACATTGAGTTCGTTTTCACCCAGTTCTAAATTGTTTTTGCAAGCTAAAAAGAAAGCGAAACTAAACTAGAAAATGGTTTTCATTTTTCATTAGTGGGGGTCTAGAACTGGTCTACAGTGTAATACAATACACATGACTTCTTTTTGTATAAGCTCAAACAAGCAATTCATTCCTGCTTGTACTGAGTCTTAAAAACGAGAGCTCATGCTAAAAAAAGCCATCATCTTTAGTGCATGTTGAATCTTCGCACATCAATATATAAGACATTGGACTATTTTTTCTGTTAGATTCTTTCTACAACGTATTGACGTTTTGATGCATTGTAACGTACCCCATTGTTTTGTTAATCTTATTGTGAGGTTTCTTGATTGCTAGGATGTTGGGCAGGCAGTACTTGAAAGCTATTCAAGAGTGATTGAGAGCTTGGCTTACACAATTTTGTCAAGAATACAAGATGTTTTACAAGCAGATACTGTAGCTAAAAGTAACTACACCAAAGAAACAAAGACGAATGTTCTCAAAGAAGGTAAATATGCCAAGGAAGAGGCACCTACATCAATGACATTGTGGGACTTCATGGGTTGGGCGCCATTGGACCAAGGAGGGGTTGGTGTAAATAAGGACGGCTTGATGAGTGTAAAGGACACAAAGTTCCCAAGTAAACCATATGGCATATTTCCCATCAAGAAAACTTCCTACCTTGAGAGCATAGCGGGCTCTCGAAGTCCAACAGCACGGCACTAAATACTTCACCATGGATTAACAACTTGGTCTCATGTGTAAATATTAACATGAATGCTCGCCTCATAGAATATGGCTAAGTAGCCATACAGATTATAATATGTGGAAGAGTGTCTCACATTAGCTAATTATAAAATACAAACTAATCTATTGTTAGCTTTGATGTGATACTATACTTTTCTTCCTTATTTTGATGTTAACAAGTAATGTACCTCTAATGATTCCTCAAGTGTGCAGACTAACACATATAAGACATTAGGTTATTTGTTCAATTAGGTTGAACCCTCAAATCGTAATATAGTACTACGTATTAGTGTTTTATAGAATATAGCTATGTGGTTGTATACTTGTATGCACAGTCAGATGGCTTGTTTGGTTTGAAATGGTTCCTTGTACATTCTCAATTATGATTTCCATACTAACAAAGAGTATCAAATCTCAAACAATTCTAGGAAATGGTATACCAACATTAATTAAACTAATAAGTAGGGGGTTCATCAATGTGAGATTTCAAGTGGTGAACTCCAAATATGGTCTTAAGTAGGCTTTCTTTATTATACTTGCAAGCTGCAGAGAGGTACATCAGATACAACAAAGTGAACAAACAATTACATAGTTAGATCTTTCCGCGGGGTCCAGGCACGGGAGGAAGTTGGGGGCCCATTTTGATGGGAAGAATGTTACGGTCTGCCTTAGCACTAAGGTAAAGCAGAGTGGAACTACCTCCTAGCAGCAAGAATTTCAGCAACAGACCTCTCTTCGTAAATGGAGCAGCAAATGTCTCGAAAAACTTGCTCTGCAATTTTTCATTCCAATTGAGATTGATGGTATAAGAACCTTAAAGAAAAATAATCAAAATAAGAGTGAACTAATTCTCTGCCTTGATTCGTGAAAAACTTGCTCTGTTTGGGAACATCCATTTCATCCAAATAATTAATTCAAAAGCTACTTCTTGAGTAACTCAGTTATAATGCAGAATGGTCAAAATAAGGCACATCTAGCTACCAAAGGGAGCTTGATCTTACAACCTAAATTTTAGCATATGATCTTCTTTATTAGTTTATTTACATCAGCATCTAAGCATCTTATGACTTATATATTAGGACAAATACTTCAATACCCTATCAGCCCTAACTGAACCGGGCTTGACAAATTGAATTCAGTTTAATTCTTTGACAAATACTTCAACACGCCTCTTAGCTCAAGTCCAACCGGATTGGACAAGTTAGCCAAAAGACACTAAGAGAACTAGCCTAAATTACAGGAGTCAAATTAACAATTAGAGTACAAGAACACCTTGAATATCATAATAAAGCACAGTGATATACTACGTCTTAGTTTATAATTTTATAACAAGTCAGTACGACACAAATACTCCAACATAGCTACAAAGTGATATACTATCTAGTTTTACCTAACAATGATGCAATTGAAACACACACCTATGCACAAATGTATGTATATGTATACACATTTAAGAGAAAAAGTGATCTCTAATCTTCAAACACGTAAAAAAGGCTCTAAATTGAAGAAAACAATCATACCACTATAGGATTATCCATTAAAAACATGCAGTTCAAGCACTGTGCACCTTTTATTTCCCTATCCCACTACCAGAATCAATGAAAAAGAACACTGACCCATATATATGTGATATATGAATTAAGGAAGTGAAGGAAAATATACCTGAAGAGGATTGTATGGTGAAGGTGAATCAGACCCATACAAGTCCCACTGCCCAGTGGTGTTTCCCATGTCTTTCAAGTCAAAGTACACATCTTTTTCTCCATACTTGGCCACAATAGCACCAGCCCTATTCACACAATCCACTTATTCATAGATAAACAAGCTTTGAGTACTTCTCCGCCCCCACAATTCACAATTTACCCAAAAATCTTAAAGATGGTATGTAAAAAAGAAAGTGAGGTTTGAATCTGGAGTGAAAGTAAAGATTGACTGCCTTGCTTTGGAGGGTTTGACGTTGAGGCGAGATGATTTGACGGGGAGCTTTGTTCCGGTGAAGGAGCTTCCGGCCAGGCCATTGACGGCGGTGGGCTTGGGAGCAGCAATGGTTGCTAGAGTTGCCATGGTCTTTCTTTCCTTCCTAGCTCACAAAAATGGACCTCCTGGAATCTTAGTTTACCATATTTTTGGACTACAAAATCGAATTTGATGGGGATTACAATATTACATGGAAAACACTTGGCAAACTGACTGTGAATGGTGGATATGTGAAGTCCCATTTGTGTGGTTCCACGTTGACTATGTCAAGATAAGCCTATCAGTTTCTCTAATTTTGTCTTCCTGTCTTTAAACAAGACCGCAAGAGACCGGGCCGGGTCACTAGTCAACCAAAACCCGAAAGCCAATATAACCTGAGAGGCTCAAGTAGTCAAGTATCGATCAGATCATTATAAACGGGAAGAATGTAATTTAAACATTACTAACAGGACTTTGACCTAAATATTTACGATAATGTTATGCATTTTTACATAGTAACATTTAATCGCAGTTGACCGAATTTGACCTAGCACATGCCCTTGTGGCACACCAAAAACTCAATCTAATCAATGCAAAGTATGAAAATCGCATTAACCTTCATCTATGTTGTCTTTAAGATAAATACCTCATACAGGTGATACAGGCAATTTTTTCATTTAAGATAAATACCTCATACAGCCATACAGGTCAAACAGGCAATTTTTTCATTATATTTTTACTGTTTTAGTTGAATTATCCGTGTCACAAACATTTTGTTTGTTTGTGCACAGAAAAATTAGGACATGTAAATGACGTGTAAGCCATCTGCCGTAGGGCCCCAATAAGCTTTTAATACTACCTTCGTAACAGTTAGATCTTCTCATTGGGAAAGTAGGTGAGATTAAGAATAGTGAAAGAAGATATAAATTATTGAGGGTATGATAGGAAGATGATAAAATAGTGTGTTGAAATGAAGGATAAATCCAAAAAAAGTAGTTGTAATAGTGTATTATTTTTAAAATTTATGAGAATATGATGGGAACATTTAGAGATGGAAAGATATGAATGTTACAGCTAAAAAGGGAAAGTGAGAAGATATGAGTGTTACGGAGGGAGTAATAGATTAATAATATAGTGATTTTTGAGATTTTAGTTTTACGAGAAAGAATTTGCCTCCATTATTTGTTTTCATGCTCCAATAGTTGAAGCGATATAAATTTTTTAGGGTGGGATAATATATTAAATTAAATACAATTATCAAATTTGGTATGAGACAATCATAACAGAGCGGAAAAATAGAACAATTTTGTGATTTTGTTTACCATATTTGAGAGAGTTCGAATGTTTTTACTAACTATTTTCAGTTTCAAACGAGACCGAATCAGATCAGACCTAACTAGATCAGAGTTGAATAGTTATAAAGATCAAACATTTATTTCATCATATTAACTCAAATCAGAAAATTTCAGCTCAATAATAAAAAGGGAAAATTCCCGAAATAGGACTAAAACAATTTGAAAATTCCAAAATAGGACTGTCATGTTTTTTATTCTCAAAATAGAAGTAATTACTGTCAAGTTTGGAAAATACTGACATGTTTGAAGTCTAATAATCTGGTACTGCCAAAACATGTCATTAATTAATCATATTTATGGAATAAAAACATGACCAATTCTATTTTCTAATTTTCAAAACCTTTTCAAACAATTTATCAAAAAAAAAAACTTTTTCAAACATGGAATATTCTCTAATAAAAAAGATGTTAGAGTAAATGTTGTGACAAACTTTGGGGTGGCCGTGAGGCCTTAAATTTCTGGTGCTCACCACTTATCCAAACACTGCAAAATGTCACTCTCATCTCCTCTTCTTCAACTTCCAATCTCCTCCCAAATCAAATCCCTCAGCCTCACCACCACTTTCCTCCATGGCTCCTCATCCCTGTCCCGTCTCTCCACCCCCTCTTCTCATTCATCCTCCCACCAACCACGCGCCTCCGCTTTCACTCCAACAATCCGGGCCCTGAGATCTGTGCAAGGCCGCGTTGTCTGCACCGCCAACGACAAGACCGTCGCCGTCGAGGTTGTCCGCATGGCGCCCCACCCCAAGTACAAGCGCAGGGTCAAGAAGAAGACGAAGTTCCAAGCTCACGATCCTCTGAACCAGTTCAAAGTTGGGGACTTGGTTCAGCTTGAGAAGAGCCGCCCCATTAGCAAGACCAAGACCTTCATTGCCGTCGCAGTTCCTCCCAGGAATCAGCGAAAGAAAGAGGAAGATGCCCCCGAGTCCCAGGAGCTTGGACTTCCATTTGAGTCTGAGCAGAATGTTAGCTAGAGCTATGGGTTTTGCTGGTAAAACAGTGCTTGTTTTTGAATTGTCTTTTTGTTTTCTTCAATCAATTTATTTACTGTGCAGTTCGATTAATGTGTTAAGTAATCAATATTTACATATTTTGAGTCTTTTGACATTATTGATTTATTATAACATCTTAGTTCTGCTTTCTTGTTTTGCTTATCCCTGAATGGTGCTTATCTGCATTGCCAACTAAGATGTTCCACCATTTGCCCGAGAGAAGATTTCCATTTAGGTTAGACAGTTCTAAATGGAGATTCTACTGAAATGCTTGGGATGTTAGATATCCTTGGCTTTTGACATCTAATCCATGGCTGATTATGTTAGAAAGAATCTGCAGATACAACCATGGACGGTTACTACTTTTGCTCCAAACACTACCAACTTTTCTTGAGAGCACTTTTCTTACCAAACACAACCAATTTTTACTTTTTCAAAAACACTTTCTCTAAAAGTACTTTAGAATTTCACTTTTTGAAGGTAGAAGCAATCACAAACACTCCCTAATGCATATATGTAGTGTTCAGATTATCATATATGTAGTGTTATTTGTCTAAGAATTACCATCCAATAGTATTATTTTTCCCAATACTACTTGTCTGTCATACCTGATCAAAGTTACCTCCCCAAGAACACTTGTGGTTCTTTACTTCTTTATTTGGTTGTTGACTTACTGCAACTTAAAGATGCTTATCATGACCTAACAACTAATGTGAAGATGTTAACTGAGCGAGGTAGTCCGGTTGAGGCTCCTTTGAGACTTAAGTCTTCAAGTTTCTTACCCACTCGGTTTCAAGTTCCGCAAGGTTTTCCCATAGTCCTTCGGGTGATTTACACGCTGGCTTGCTTTAACGGGTGGATTTTTCAACCCTGGGGTTTTATTTAGAGCAATGGATGCGGTGCCATATTTATTTACGGTCATACATCTCTACATTTAAAATAATGATACTATGAAGATAAAAATGCTGTCCTGACAATATGCCTATGCGAAGCGCATTCCTATCAGAGTGAATGTATAAGAAGCACCGGTTAACCAACTCATTTTCACGGATGTATGGAAAAGTTTCTTGTTAGGATCTGGATTCTGGGTTAAGTTGTACGTATTATTTAATCATTTCTACAATGGACAGTAGATTCTATCATGAAAATGCAAAATAAATATGTGCTTTCATCTAAATTTCCAAACCAATACAAGTTTGAACATAATATAAACATATACGGAGTATATATATAAATGATATATTTGACAAGAATGAGGGTCTTGGAACATAGATTTACTTTAGAGAACCTCTAAATGTCTCTACAAATTCAATTCGGAGAACTTCTGAAATTGAGATTTTAGAGAATACCTAAGCTGGTTCCATCCAAATAAATTTTTACTGTATACATTTGAGTTAATCTAATAATGATCCAAACTTAATCTTTATGCATGTACCTGATTTCAGTTGGGTTCACTCAATTTATCATTTTTACATGTCGCTTATTCAAATTTTTTGATGAAATGTAAATATATATTAAAAATCATCCAAAGAGTTTGTCTGTATAGCAAAAAGTGGGCAAAAATGCAAGATATCCAGAGAATGGATAGCCCATCACCTGAAAACAAATAGGCTGGAGAAACCAAGCAAACATACGGCCAAACACAAAATTTAGGTGATGAGCCGTAACCTATCATCCAAAAACTACCAACTCATGAGTCATGAGGGTAGATGATATATAGGATCTGATATGCATGTCGCTTATTCAAATGGATAGTAAGTGTTACTCCGATGCAGTGTGGCGTTGTGTATTCTGCCGGTGACTATGGCATAGATACATGGAAAATTATTCAACACTATTTGTATCAAGTCTGGAATTGATTTCGCAGTTAGAAATATATTTCATTACTTCATTGCACAGATGAGTTATCGTGGCGTTGGTGAAGACAAACTGAGGATGCTAAACTACAATGAGTGCTGTACAAAGGCAAACTCATGAAAAAGTCATGATACGTCACGATATTATTATCTGTATAAAAATCATAACGGCTATAAAAGTTACTCCGTATTTCTTTATCTTCTTTTATAGCCGTTATAATTTTTATACAGAATCATGAAAGTAATCTAAGGAAAACATATAAAGACAAAAAAAAAGATAAAACATTTACTTGAATTTTGAACTCTTCACAAAGGAAGTGATGAAATTTTCTAGTGTACCACGTATAGACGGTATAGTCAGTGTTATATGAATGAACAAACTCGTGATACTAAAATCTTTTGGAGGTAGAACCTGCAATCAAAGATAAGTTGGGGTGCGAAAATGAAAACATCCACCCTAGTGACCATCTTTTTATCTGGTTTATTTGTTAGTTTTATAGGGGTGTCTTCTTATCAATGCAGTATTCTCAATTGCATTGACTAACAAATTTGTTGTTCTGAATCTGTTAAATTTAAACTCCATGATAAAATTGAGAACTCGTCAATTTGTAATAAGTTTTTTCAAAAATAGACCGAAAAAATAAAGCAACAAGTCTATCTAACATAACGGTTCTCTCAAATGTTCGATCGAAGTATTGCTCATCGATGTTATATCTTTTTTATTCTTCCGCGGGAAAAATACAATGAGAAGATGCTTTTGAGTGTGGTTAGTGTTAGGAATTGAGTTCTAAAAGTGTTGTGTTACTTGTGTTAATTTAAAATATCAAAAAGGAAAATGTTTTAACCCAACGCAATCTCTAAATGTGATTTTTTTGGAAGAAAATGGCTTAAATTGATTCCACAGCATTCAGATAAGGAGGAAACAGACAAAAGAGTCACAATCAACCGTCAGCCCTCGAACCAGACTTGAGACTTAGAATCAATCACCTTAAAAAAAAACAATATGACTCGTTGGTCCTATAATGAGCATAAATGAGCCAAAGACGGTCAAACCAGATCTCTCATCACTCAATCCTAATGCAAGAGTCTTACAAAAATAGAAATAAAATGTGAAAATAGAAATAGTCTGATCAAGGTAAAACGGAACAATCAAAGAAGGTAAAATTAAACTTCTCTAAATGCGAAATTTAACTTCATTATTCCAATGAACTTTTTGCGGAGTTTTGATAAAAACTACGGAGTATGAAAGCATCATTTTTCTATTTTCACTACCAATCAATGCGACTCCAAATGGCCGGGACTTTGGTTCACAACTAATTACAAAGAATTATCCTAATAGAGGTACAAATATTTGTAAATTCACGGAAAACATCGAATTACTATGTTTTTATTATCCACATAAAAGTAACTATTTTCATGTTTTGAGATTATCGGATTTTAAACACGAAAATATTTTTCAGTAACCACTCATATTTAAGGAAAAAACAAAGTATTACTTTTCTAGAATTTCAAAACGTTTGTACTCATATTTCAAGAATTTTCCCTTATAATTATAATATGTTAGCATATTTATTTTTAAACATATAAATTTATATGCACCTAAGGTGAATGTAAAGGAGTGTGAAAGGAGAGGTGTTAAATCACAAATAAAAGCAATCATACTATGTGTCTATCCTACTAAATCATAGATTTATAAGTTAACATTTTCATTCAATGTAACTTTTAAATTTACACACTGAATTGTGTATTAATCAAAACAAGTAAAGTTTAAGTTACATTTCTAGTTAAATTTGTTGATGTTATTATATAAGAGTATATAAGTTTTTTTCATATAATTTTTCTTTATTTTATGAATACAATATATTTTCAATATAATTTTTATAATTCCACCACTTCAGCAAGAACGCTGTCAATTTTAGAAAAATCAACGTTTCAATCAACTTAACTAACTTAAAAGTGTTTGACAGGTGACTCTTGAACCACACATAATTTGAGGATTTTGAAAAGAACAAATTAGACTATAAACTCAAAAACATGATCAAAGATTAAAATCAATCTCAAATAATGACTACTAAAATGCATACTCCCTCCGTCCCAAAATTAACTTCTCACTTTCCTTTTCGGGCAATCCCAAAATTAACTTTACACTTCAAAACTTTCCTTATTTGGCAAATAATCTACATCAAAAGAGTGTCAAACAGTGCCAAACAGTGTCCAAACAGTGTCAAACAGTGTTTAAACAGTGCACTCCACAGTAAAATCAAATTTATTTTCTTAATCTGTGTGAAGTCAAACTGTGAACTTAATTACGGAACTTAATTACGGGACGGAGGGAGTATTAAATTACACCTTACGAGATCATACTTAAACATATGAAATTAAATCCAGATTATAAATTTGAATGCCAAAACAAATTAAATAAAAACTTATGCTACAAGATGGTAGAGATAGTTATAGTCTAACATGGAGTAGTAGGCTAGTAGCTGTATTATATTTGCAATACAATTTCATTCTAACTATTCATGATCAAGAAAACATTATCATCATTATCAATATAAATAAGAAATCATAAATATAATTTCAAGATGGTAATTGTGTGACTCACAATTAGCTCATAATCTAAACACGATTACATCCCCAGGAGTATTCTCCTTCATTGTAAATACACCTAACACCTTCAAGAACACATCTATCACACCTCTAATAAATTACGAATAACATCTTTATCCTAAGTGTTACGTTACTTCTCTTCCTAATATTCTGCTTATTTTTCTTCCATGTCATAACAAAAATGAAATTCTGTACGCTTACTTTAATTAATACGGAGTAATTGACAAACTATATACTTTCATGAGTTTCATCTGAAAAAATTCAATAACTCAAGTACTCAACAGAAGCACCTTCCAGTCTTCGACACAGGAGGATCATCTTTTGAAGTCTATTGACAGCGGGCGGGCTGAGAGGGAAAAAGCATGACTTTGTGCGCCATATCTAACCTGGCGGCTGATTACGCAAACATTTCATTGACCCATCTCCGATCAAAAGCTCCAAACCCGGAGCCGCTGGCATCCGGCTCAACCCGAATCAGAGTTCAAGCCCACGTCACCACGCACTGAATTGGCCACCATTATGGTTGACCGGTTGAGTCGCCATAAATTTTCTTTAATTTTAACTACCTTTTTGCCGTTTAGTAAGTATCGTTTACACCGCGTTCTCAGTGTCAAACCCAATTGTTTTCCTCACAAAGGAGCCAGCTTTTTCCCCCACCAGTATCGCCTCCTCACTTCTGGTAAGTGTTCTTTCCTTTTCTTGATTCAGACCCACCTGTTTTTTTGTTGATTACTCACTCTAAGTTAAGAAGAAACTGCATTGGCTTGATCATGTTACTCAATTCGGCTTAGGTTTCATTTTTCACTTTCCAGCTTCAAATAGTAGTAAGAATATGGAGCTTGTTAAAGAAATAGCCAGCAGAGAGCCGGAATGTCAGGGGAAAATCGCCATAAGAGATGATGAAAAGAGCTGCAGTTACCTTCAACTGATCTCATATGCAGCCAAGATATGTGATATGTTGAGCAATACAAATCTGAAAAGTGTGAGCTTGAAAACAACCCGTTTTCTTTTCAATGATTTATTATGCCGCCTCTTTGTATTTAAGTAATAATCCTGAACTTAAAAGAACTTCTCTTTTATAGATTCTTTGAGTGAATGTTTTGTGAGATTTCAAGTAATCCCACACCTATAGTGATAGAAAATTTACATACATGATACATGACATTGCACTACTCCTCATGAAACTTCAAGTCTTAATTCTATATCGAAGAAACTTTAGCTCAAACCTGTATCCAGCTAAGATTCTATGTCTCAGAAAGACCCCAACTGATTTCAAGTTTGGTCTACTCCAAATAGTCACACTATCAATTTAGTAGAAGAAATACTCCAACCTGTTATATGTGAGTGTTATATATGATTTTTTTTTGTAACTTATGATTACATTCTTGTAGCATGATGGTGTAAAGCCGAGCTATAATCTTGGCGGAGCAAGAATTGGTATAGTAGCCAAACCATGTGCGGAATTTGTTGCCGCAGTACTTGGGACTTGGATTTGCAGAGGTGTTGCAGTCCCTCTTGCTTTGAGCTACCCCGAAACTGAGCTTCTCCATGTGATGAATGATTCGGTTTGCCCTTTTCCCACAGTTTATTATTTTTTCTTGTAGTTGTATTTTCGTGCCAGCTAGCCGGTCCATCTGGAACTACAAAAATAGTAGGGAAGGGACTAGAGAAAAAAATAGAGAGGAATTGGAAGGAATGATAGCATATGGGAAAATGAAAGATAAGACTAAACTCAATACATATGTTTTACATATTTTTCAGGCTTATTTTTATTATTCTGTTATATAAACAATAGTGTATAAATATGTGTAAAGTGCTAAAAAGCTTAATCTTATTTCATTATATTTTGCATTTTTCATACTAAAGCAAACATACGAAAATAGCTTTCCTTGACACTTACTTTCCTTCCCTAATCCCTAGAATTTCCCTGATTCAAGCCATACCCAAAGTGTTCTTTCAATCCTCTCCTCCAAATTATCTAATATCCTTTATTTGATCTGATCAGCTTATTTATTTCCATCCATCACTAATTTGGTTATTTATTCTAAACTCAATTTGACTATTAGGACATCTCTACGATTTTGAGTAGTGAAGATCATCGGGAGCTTATGACCAGTGTTGCAGCTAAGACTGGTGCTCAGTTGTCTTTCCTTCCTCCACTTCCCATTTCACATTCACTTTCTATCGACCATATATTGTCATCCAACACTGAGAGTGATTGTGGTAAAGTACTCCCTAGTCTACAGTGTTTTTTTAAGTTTGCAGAGCTCATGAACACTTATTGTTCTTTTATTAAAATATTACTTCATGGGTTAATGTAGGAGAAGACCCAGCGTTGATTTTGTACACTAGTGGTACGACAGGGAGACCAAAAGGCGTTGTGCACACACATAATACCATCCTAGCACAGGTATTCCTCAAGAATTATGTTCATTTACACAATATATGAATTTTATGGCTTAATAACCTTTTTTCTTTTCCCTTTTTTGTGAGCTTTTCTCATTCAGGTCCAAATGTTAACAAATGCATGGGAATACACATCTGATGACCATTTCCTGCATTGTCTACCGCTACACCATATCCAAAAATGATATACTTATTGCATTTTTTCTTACATATTACTAATTGAATTTCCATCGAAAAATGCTCAATTTTTAATTCAAAGACAAAAATTTTAGCAAGACAATTACCAACGGTCATTGGCTGATTGGCCAGCTGTCTTTTCGTAACTACGTTGATAATTAGTCATTGTGGCTTGGCTACTGCTAATTGTGTTGGCAACTTTCCCCCCTGAAAAATTGAACATTTTTAATGGTAATACTTACTTATACTTAATGAATCTCATATTTATTTCATTATTTGTACAGAATTATTTTCAGTATATCATAATCACTCATTTGTGCTTTTACATAATTTCTATTTGACTACTGTTCTAGTCCTTAACTTTCTGTGCACACGTGCATGGGCTTTTTAATGCTTTATTTGCACCACTCTATGCTGGTTCCAAGGTGAGCTCTATGAATAAAATGCTTCACAGTTAAAATCAGTTGAATACAACAACCAATCAACCATTTTGCCTGGGTTGTCCTACCTTTGAGTAGCTTATCTGCTTCATGTTTTGAAGGTTGAGTTCATGCCGAAATTCAGTGTGAGAGGGATATGGCAGAGATGGCGTGAATCATATCCACTGGAAGGGACTAAATCTGATGATACCGTAACAGTGTTCACAGGAGTGAGTATCTATACGCACATTAGTAATGATGTCAAGCCGCTTTGATTTTAAAAATATATAAAAAATAAATGAAGAAAATTTTAAGACATGTTACCCCTACCATATATAAAGATACAAATTCACGTATAAGGTTTTGGCATACTCTTCCTATCATTTGATGTTTTAAGAAATACCTGAAGTGTTAATATGGTACCAAAGTCAATTTAGTTCGAACGAGTAATGGGTTCATATAAAACTCAAAACGAGCATACAAATTCCACGATTAGTCTACTTTAATGAGCCGCCATCAAGCAGCGGGATGTTCAACCATCATACTCAACCAAATATAAAGATATGAGCTCACATATTAGACCTTGAGTTTCTTTTCCTATTGGGCTGATCTTTTAGAATAAAATCCAACTTAATGGAAAAAGATCACTCCCCTAAAATACCTTAAATAGGGGAAGGCAATATGGGTACTTTGTGAGTCTATAGATCCTCCACTTTCCTAACCCCCAACCAAACAGGCAAGAATCCCACTTTCCTCCCCTTCTCACCAAATTCCTCAAACCACAAAGAAGCTACAACGTTTTTTATTAGGTTTATGCTTTATTTGGATTTAACTTGTGTCGTTGATGATCGTTCAGGTTCCTACCATGTATACACGACTTATTCAAGGCTATGAAGCCATGGATTCAAAACTACAAACTGCTTCGGCTTCAGCAGCAAGACACTTGCGTCTTATGGTAATGATCTTTGAGTAGACCAAGTGGGTTATCGTTTTAATTGAATGTGAAGGTTTTTCTTTGCTTCTTAAGGGTCTGTTTGGTCAGATTGGTTCCAATGGGAAGACTTTGGAGGGTTTGGTCTGTATTATGATAATAAATATAATGTTTCGGAAAACAAATAAAAGGTGATTGAAATGTTATGCATTCATCTTTTATGTCATGCAAGGACATAAATTATGGACATTCTAGGTAGACATTCCTTTGTGGCGTGCATTAATTGGGTGGTGAAAAGTCAGACATCTAGTCATCACCCCATGAATGTGTGCCACATAGAGTTGTCTCTCTAAGATGTCCACATGTTATTTTTCCTTATTATCGCCCCAAATCCGTACAAACAGACCCTTAGAGTATATTTGGGAGTTATGTTTTGGAGGGGAAGGAAAGGATTAAGAGGGCTTATGACCTCTCTATCTTGTTTGGAGGGTGATTTTGAATGATAACTAATTAAATGATGACTTTAGCTTAACTTAAAATTAATATAAGTTCAACTATTTAAATTTGCCATAGCTTTGAAGTGATTTTAATTATAATTCCTCCTTAGCCCTTCTCTGTTCAAACAAAAAGAAGGATTCCCTCCCCTTCCCCTCCTAGGACTAACTTTCAAAGCTTTCCCCTCCTCTCCAAACTCCCTAACATACCCTCTGAGCATCAGTCCTGTTTTCTTTTCTTCTCCTTTAGCCATCGTGTGTCCCATTTTCCAGATGTGTGGCTCCTCTGCACTTCCTATTCCTGTCATGCAACAATGGGAAACTATCACAGGCCACTGCCTATTGGAACGATATGGCATGACTGAGGTATATTATATCTTTTTTTAGAATGACTGAGGTATATTATGTGTCTACATATATCTATATACACATGTGTGTAGTGTCAATAGGTTTTACACAAAAGCATTATCCACAGGGATTGCATCTCAACTGTTGGCTTTGAGATCAAACCATTACCGTCATTCTAAGGTTGATTTAGTATTTGCATTAGAATCTGACTGCATGCACTTTTAGTAATAAGTACATAGTATCTATTAATATGTGGTATCTATTGAAACCGTAAATATATAAGTAAATATATTATATTTACACACCCACATATATATATATATATATATATATATATATATATGCACACACACACTGACACACACACATATAATGTTGAATGCTTGAATCTTTGCACTATACCTTTTAACATATTCTCACAAGTTACTCACATGCTAACTCTGAACTGGAAAATCTTTTAGTTTGTGATGGCAATTTCTAATCCTATAAGAGGAAAGCGCAAAGGGGGTACTGTTGGTATGCCATTTGCACGTGTGGAGGTTCGTGTTTCTTAATCTGTATTTTGTCATGCCTGATGAAATTGATTTTACTTAACATATATTCAAATGTCTTTTACTATGAACTTTTTATGTTTTTGTTTTCTGATAGGCTAAGATCCTCTCAGATGATGATAGTTCAGGCGTAGGCGAGCTCTGCATCAAAAGCCCTTCTTTGTTTAAAGGCTACTGGAAACTTCCTGAGGTAATCAGCTTTTCCTATGTTGTTTTTCATTCATTTTGCTAATTATCTAATTGGTTTTAGTGGTGAGATATAATCAATTTTTTTCTAATGTTGAATGACATATTAGGTAACCAAAGAGTCATTTACTAATGATGGGTTTTTCAAGACCGGAGATGCTGCTAAGGTGGATGAAGATGGATACTATGTCATTTTGGGACGTAAGTGCATTTTACCTGTCAAAATGTGTTGCCATATTGCACTACTAAACATAAAGAGTGTTTGCCATTTCTTTTGAGACCTTTTTGTTCATTTTTCTTTGAAAAGAATAAGCTAAAAGTAACCTTTGTATGTTAGTGCTTTTGCGTACCTTTAAACGCTTCAAAGTTAAAAGTTATAAACAGGTCTGTTTAAAGCTGTTCTTAACTTATGTTAATATAATTTTTTTACACATACAATAAACCCAAGATTACCAAATACTTCAACCCATACGTCTTTTTAAAAATCACTTTTATTTTTCAAACACTACTCGCTTTTACCAATTTACGATTTAACACTTTTCCCTATAATTTCTATAATAAACCACTTCTCACAAGCACAGACAAACACAAACACTGTCATAATTTGCTTTCAAGCTCTTATTTTTTGCTCTATTTGTTTTTAGGTACCAATGCTGATATCATGAAGGTGGGTGGATACAAGTTATCTGCACTTGAAATTGAAGCAGTTCTTCTGGAGGTTTCTGCTCTTCCTGTATCTATTTCAAAATGTTTTTAGAAGATTTTATCTTTCTTATTACTCTAACGAGAATGTTAGTTTTAATTTAAAAATTTGAACTTCACTTCAACAGCATCCGGCAATATCTGAGTGTTGTGTGTTGGGCTTACCTGACAAGGACTATGGGGAAGTTGTGTGTGCGATAGTGGTTCTGGACTCAAATCTCAAACAGAAATGTGAGGTAGAATCGAAGACTGCTCTTAGTTTGCAAGAACTTCGTGATTGGGCTAAGGAGAAACTTGCCCCCTACAAGGTATATCTTCTCACACTTAGCGTCCTTTTGGAACTCAAAATGGCCTGGGGAAGAAAATACAGAGGAAAAGTAGAAGGAATTGACAAATTGAGGGAAAAAGTAAGACTATTTAAATGGGAGTGTGACTATTTACAAATAGTTATGGTGTTTCATATTTCTCTGTGTTTTCCAATTTGAAGTTTGAAGTATACATTAAAGAACTTTTCTCACAAATTTTTACGTTTCCCTATGATCTTTCTGGATCGAAACCCTAAGTTTCTTTTGGGAAAGTAATGTAGTACCGCGTTGCTGGGCGGGCCGTAGGTGTTGCTCTGGGTCCCAGTGCTTAGGCGGGCGGAGACTTTAAGAGCAAATGTATGAGACTAAACTAATAAGTATGAAACTATGCTTTGTTGCGTTGCAGATACCGTCTCTTCTTCATGTATGGGATTCCCTACCTCGCAATGCCATGGGAAAGGTCAATATACTTACATCCCTAATCTCCTATTCCGCTCTCGGGTCATTCGAATTGATGAGTATAAGATTACTTACTTCAATCTGCCTGTTATTGGTTTTAGGTGAACAAGAAGGAACTGAAGAGAACTTTGAGTAATGTTGAAAAATGAAATCATTGCATTTGAGATGATCAACCAAATGTGCTGAAAAATCAACAAAGATGGGGTCTTGCTAACCAATGCTTTGAGGCATTGGCTTAGTACCTAATTAAAGAAAGATTGATTTTTTTATTTACATATTTTGATGCATTTGTCTTGTATTTTTATTTGTAAAATGGAAACCACTTGATTTCTTAAATGCCTAATTGTTCACCCATTTGTACTTGGCTACTTGCCTTTGAATAATACCAAGAAATGAGGAATGAGTACTCTTTGATCCAAGCGCTACTTCTCAAAGAACAAAAATGCTAGAAGGCTTGTATTGCTTAAATTATACTCCCTCCGTTGTATAGAACTTTGCCAATGTTGACTTGCACGTAGATTAATAAAGTAAAAATAGTGTGATTGATATTTGTGCAGAGGAGGGAGAAATAATTTAGCCACACATTAGTTACTTCGAATGGAAATGACAAAATTTTTTGGGATGACCAGAAAAAGAAAGTTAGCCAAGTTTTATGCGACAGAGGTGGTAATAAAAATTATCTCCATGAAATTAAAAATGTGCCCATACATTAATTAATATGCAATATTAAGAGGTGATCAGGTGAAGTATAATGGTAACCATGCATCAATGGGAAATTTACCCCAATATTACTAAAAGAGAGAGGAATTCCTATTATATGACTAAAAAACATAATTGATCAAAATATGACCAAAAATAACTAATGGGGTGTACCATAACTGAAAACAAGCATTAGAAAGTTTCCACCAAATGCATTTGGAACGCGGCTAGCATATATTCTTCCACCAAATTAGGAAAAATAAAGATTAAGTCATAGATTGAGAAATAGATACTCTTTTAGTATATGATAAATAATTTTCACTTTACTTTTTCTCTTTGTTTTGTGAACTGGTAATTTTTGTTAGTCTGCCGTTGTAGTATTTAATGTTTTTATTGGTTATATGGGTGCAATTACTAATTACATTGTCACACCTTTGTCCCATTAGGAGGATGATGAAATGACACAATAATTAAGAAAGAAAAGTGAAATGACACAAAGGATGAATAAGAACAACACAAATACTACTAAATATTGCATGAGATAAATTTAATGGGACAGATATTAATTTGGTAGTCGTTAATTGTAATGGCAATAGGAATTATATTTAGAGTTCTTCATTATTCTACCAATAGCTTTTGCATTTGTATCCACTACAAATTTCATATTAGTGCCGTTTTGTAACCACTAGTCCACTACCAACTAGTATTCTCACCCGTGCGATGCACGGCCGAAATAGAGAAGCTTGTATTAATTAAAAGAAAAAATTGAATGCCAAAATGATACATCAAAACTTTTACAATGACCACTTAAGCGACCACAAACAAATCCATGTTATTCAACATAACATGAAAAAATTTAAATATTTTTATAGTACTTTATAAACAACATTTGTTGTCTCATTCGAGCTTTGATCGTTGTCATCTAAAATTAAATTTTTTAACCATTTAAGGTTCGTAACTCACGAAATTGTCACATAAAGAGGCCGTTTGACAACATTGTTTTTCGGCTTATCGGCCAACTTTGTCACCAAACACGTAACTTTTGCCTTCACGCGCTGAAATGTGTTATAAGCAGAAAAATTAATGTTGTATTTACTTTTCTGGCCGTATTGGCTGAAGTTACTATAGATGATCATTTTAGTTATTTTTACATATAATTTTTTCTTTATTCTATTAATAAAATATATTTTAAAAATATTGTTTTCTTTAATCAGCAGTATCAGCCAATGCAGCCACGCCAGCCAGAACTTCATAAATTTCAGCAGAATCAGCCAAATCAGCCGACTTTCATGCTACCAAACGGGCTCAAAATTGAAATGTTACAACTAAAAAATAATTTTTCACTTCGTTACTCTTGGGATCGTTTCAATTTAAGATTTTAATTTGAATTAATTTACAATAATCACCAAATATTAAAATCCGAAATTTTCTCTTTGAATTGGATTTCTGTCGATATATTTCGAATGAAATCATACTTTATACATATTAGCCATCATACGTTTTACATAGATTTCTAAAGTAAGGTTGTTGGAATATATTTCATTTATAATTGATCAATTATAAATTATTGTTTCTATGATTCTATCTGAAGTGTTGAAATGTCTCATCGATCATAAAATACCTTTTCAATTAATCGATGCATTAGAACAATATGGAGTACTTCGTATTTATGATCAAATGGTTTTCGATTTTTTAATGCTCAGCTAAAAAGGGTCATTTGTTTACCAAGTCTAGACCAAGTGTAGGTAAAAAAATTACTCCTTTGAGGACTAAATGATACGAAAATAATATTTTTAATTGAATTAAAATTTCTAATTTGATCTAGATTTTGTACCGAAGAAGTAAAAAAATTATTCAACACCCCTTGAACAATTCTCTTTCCCATCCCATAAATATTTCCATTTCATTTTATGTCTTCTTCAACCCGTTTGCCTTGTCGCTCTGACTCTCTGCTTCTCGGCTACTGTGCATTATCAACCTTCCTACAACTATCAAACTAATAAAAAACACCCCATCATCAATTATATTCCATGCATGACGCTCATAGTTTTTTTTATCTGAAATTGACCAAACTTTCACTTTTAACCCCATATCTTAATGCGCATGTGGCAGGTAGGGAATACTCCCATTTCATTTCAATCTTGTACGTGTTACTTCTTAAAAGCTTTATTACACTTTTATTTATATACGAAGTACATAGTACGCTTTAGCAGGGAGGCCAAAGGACAATTATAATTAAATTTTAGATTTACTCCATATTAGTTTTTCGAGGGAAGCAATAATATGAAACAATGAGCAGCGTATGGCTTAATTAACTTGGAGGATATGGTTATAATGCAACATTAATAATTTGTTGCTTTCAATGTCTTGGAAACACATTTCTCTCTTGCTTCTTGCACCGTTTCCCTATTTCTTTTTGGTGGAATGAAACGTTTTTTGTGTATTCATTTTTTAATTTTCAAAAATCAAATATAATGTTTCCAAATTCAAAACATTTAACCACTTTCAGAGTTATCGAATTAATCTAAAAAATCTGATAATCTTCAAACTAAAAGAAAGTTTGGTTATAAAATCTAAAATCTAAGCAAAAAACTAAACAAAAAATTATATGATGTGGAAATACTACGTATTAGAAAAGCCTGTGAGTAACAATTTATTGTTTGAAGCTCATAATTCGTAGTAGTTGATTCACAAATTGTTAACAGATTTAGAAAAACATAAGCTAACTTAATTATTTTATGTTAATTTACAGATCTACTGTAACTTATTTTATAAGTTAATCTATATATCTATGATCAAAAAAAAAAAAGTTAATCTATATATCTTGGAACCATATGCATTTTTACGCATTCGTATTTTTTTTAAACCTAAAACCCTTAAAAACTAATAAGAATAAAACCTTAGGAAACTAATAAGAATCTAATCTGAGATATGAAACTTTAAACTACTCGTATTATTTCACCTTACTTTAACCTTAGTTTAGAAGCAATTTTTAATTCGTAGGTTACAACAACTTAGTGTAATTATTTCAGGTGTGAACTTTACTTTGAAAAACGTAAAAATTGTAACGGCGCAAAGCTGATTTAAAAATGAAAAAAACTCAACAAACTGGAATTCGAAGAGTTGTAAAAGAAATGCTTTGGAAAAATAAGAATTTCAATCTGTGGGCTACAAAATTCGAAGTACTACATGATACATGTATGTATGAGAAATATTTTACGTAGTACTCCGTATTACTTTATTCGGAATTTTCGCATTGAGAGAGAAAGAGCTTTAGTTACTAGTTAGTGGACCACGTTATATTAAATTTGTCGTGTGAGTTGTATGTTTTCCAAAAAATTCCACGGGCAAACTATATAAATGGAGAAGACTACCGTGCAAGAAATGATCCATACGGTTTTGGCGGGACTTACTCCCCAAGAAACCTTTTGTTATTATATTAAGATAGATGTCCTAACGGTTAGTGACAACGGTGATCAATGGCGGACCTAGTATTAATATTTTGAGTGTTGAGAATTACACATTTTCTTCTTAAAATACTAATAAATCAATTAAAAACTAATTCAGACATATATTCCCATTGTTTTTATATTTTTTGCTGTTCACATGAACACCCTTGTCATTGACAGTGATGAGTAAATGTAATTTATTAAGAGATATTACTCGAAATAGGACTAAAAAGGTTTGAAAATTCCAAAATAGGACTGCCATGTTTTTATTTCCAAAATAGTACTAATTACTGTCATGTTTTGGCAGTACCAGACTTCTAACATGGCAGTATTTTCCAAACATGGCAGTAATTACTCCTATTTTGGGAATAAAAAACTTGGCAGTCCTATTTTGGAATTTTCAAACTGTTTTAGTCCTATTTCGGGAACTTTCCCATTTATTAATTGTTGTTAAATTAAATACTTCAGTGAATTTTTACTAGATAACGTATTTTTAGTGAATGTGCTATGAGTGAATTATGAGCTATCTCTAGATAAAGTATTCTTAGTTAATGTAATATATGAGTGAACTATTACTATTCCTAGATATGGCGAAGAGTATCATTTACAGAGTATTTCTATATTATATGAGTGAATGTAATGTTACCTTTAAGTATTTTTAGTGTTTATTCTTATATAGTTATGTATTCATTTTGAGTTACTTTTATTCCTAGATAATTCATTCCTTCTTTGTTAATGCGTTTTAACTACTCTACAAGAAAACTCCTGATTTCTCTTCAAGAGTGTTTATTTTGAAATAGATACTTTACTATAAAAAATAATAATCTATTTTATTAAAAGGATACACCTAATTTCCTTAAGTTACAAAAGTGGAGTTCTTTAAAGTTAATGAAGATGTATGGAAATGTGTTAATCTTAAAATGTCATGTTAATTTGTTTTTGTTCTTTATCTATGTGGTGCCTTAGTCAGCAACCGAATAAAACTGAATATGAGTTTATTGTGCAGCTTCCTAATTTAGGTTTGTTTATCTGGGTGATCATATTAGATGGATTTCCCAACCACCATATTCTGGACAAAATTTTAGATTATCATCATCAAGTTTGTAATTTTTATATTTAATCAACTTGGGGTAAACAGGATCAATTTTTTAAAAGAAAGCTGTTTTTGTGTCTTATAGAGGGTTATAGTTAAATATAATAGTACTCAGTATCATATAACATTTGACTCAAAATAAAAAGTAGGAGTAGAGTCATATATGTCAAAGTTCGCATAAGCTGTTTCATTTCTCAGTTTAACATTTATTTGAGTCAAGCAGCATTCCACATGCATAAAGAGATTCAGATTCACTTTGGCTTTTCCCAAGTATTGTCAAAGGTGGTATGAGTTACGATATATGTGTGTACTAGCCTCGATCTATTTCTTTAGTTTCTCCCCTATTTCTACCACATACTTCCTTTGCACTTTTGTTTGAAGGAAACATGATAGACACTCTATAGTTTATACATTAATGGAGTAGCACAATTGCATTCTCTTTGTCTCTATTCTTAAATCCGAGTGTCTTTCACATTTCTAACTTTTTTATATTTTTAAAAGAATAAAAGAATAAATAATGTGTTCTTTTATCTGGTGTTGGGTTCTTGAGTAAAAAAAAAACAGTTCACACTTTTTGTGTGAATTGCTCTTCTGTCTGGTGTGAATTATTTTTGTCTTTAAGTTTCCAAACCATTTTTTTTTTAAAATCTGTAATATGTGGTTGTTTGTTAAGCTTCACCAAATTAATGGCATCATGTTGACCCTTAAAGGCGCTAAGAGCTGAACTATATATACTTCTGGTGTGAATTGGAGTTTCCATCTCTATTTCTTTGTACACTTTGGGGATAAGGGAGAGGCTCCTAAAAGGCATGACAAAAGAAGCACACAACTTTTTATTTTGGCCAGACCTCAAGGGATTCTATTTTTACTTAAGGGTGGAAGATCCTCATTAGTTCTTGCACATAAGAAACAGTTATGGGAGAAGCTTAAATGTGTTCTTAAATAGTGATTATGAACTTTGTTCTCAATGATTATTTCCCCTAGAGGCAGCATATGCTATTCTGTTTAATAGTGAGTAGTTGTTCAACTCTTTGGATTCTACTGCAATGGACTTATGTAGTTCAGGTTTGGTTGTATTCAAAATCTAATAGTTGCTTAAGATAATTTGTACTCTCTTTGTTAAAGTTGGAATTCTTAACACTTTTTGCTATAACATATTATGAAAGAATTGAAAACAATCATGGTTCCCATTATCACTCGTATACTATTTTAACATACATTTTTCTACTGCATGTGCACAGTAATTAAGCCTGCTAAACATACAATATTTTCCTAAAGGCGACACCAAAGTTGTGATTGTCCTAAGTTGTTGGTTTTTCCATATGCAGACAACAACTTCACGATCCATCAAAGCCTCATTGTTCTCTTATGAATTTATGATAAAGCAAAGGAAATACATGAGGACAAAGACAACTCTACATCACCAGTACAATTGATCCTTAAAAGGCCAGGTCAGGATGCACACAGTGAGGATTACTTCTTCAAGATCAAATATGAAATTGGTACTAATCATTCTTAAGTTTCTTGGTGCACCCATGATCTGAAATTGGTACTGATCATGGGTGCATTCATGGTACTTTAGTTTCTTGGTGTGAGTGGTGTGATTTAAGTTTATGTTTTTTCAGATTTAGAGTTACAATAATTTAACATTTATCATGATATATTGAATGCAATGTTTGTTTTTCCCTTTCTATCTGCAGGAAATTTATCAAGATATATTGCTCAAGTGAACCACAAAGTAAACCTGATTAGTACCATAGAATATCCAATGGTATATATTGGTATATATACCTTGCTATTGTGTAAGGCTACAAAACAGTTGTTATATGTTTGTTGTGATCCTATTCAAAATAGATTTTTTTAAGTAGTACTCTCTTTGTCTCACTAAGATTTTCTCATCTTTTGTGTTCGATTCGTCCCACTAAGATTGTCTCATATCAAATTTGATAAAGTTTGTGGTTCTAAATTATTTTATAAATGATGTTATGATATCATTAGTTTACTGTAGTAGGATTATTGATAATTCATAACTGATAAAAGATTACTTCGTACTGAAAGAAGCATATGGATCCATGTTAAAAAAGTTGAACAAAGTATCTAGTTCTCTTTATAAATTATCTCCATAGATTCTCACCTTAGTGTTTATTATAGTCCTACATATATGTATTTGTAATTATGTTAGGAAATTTTTACTTGGGTTGTTTTCGCTCCCTGATCAGGTCAAAACAAACCAGACTTAGAAAGTTATAAAATACACAGATATCAGAATTAACCCGATCAAATCAGACCAGTTCAAACCAGACTAGATTCAATCAAACCATGCTAGAAAATTTTAGTCCAATAAAAAACACGCATTTCCACGGTTAGCTTAAGTTGTACCTATAGCACTATTCACATACTTTGTTATATCCTTGGACCTTGGTGATGTATCTTAAAAATGCTCGGTGTTGTACTTATCTTTAAGCTTTTAATTAATGGATAGTTATTAATTGCATATGAATAAAGTAATTCATATGAAAATAGAGTTGCACCTTGAGTAGTTAATTATCATTGCTTTATTGACTAACATTTTTACCTCATAAGGGCAAGTGTATTGCAAAAAGATGAAGTGGACAACCGATTACCAAACCGATTTTTTTTCAGTTTTTACCGAACCAAACCGAATCAATTCGGTTCAGTATATGAAAATGGACAACAGAAATTTCGGTTCATCGAAATTTCCATTTGGTTCGGTCCGTAATACCAAATGAACACCCTTGGTGTATGCTACTTATATTCATATTCATACTACGTATTAAATTTCTGGAAAAAAAAGTTTAAGAACCCGTTTGATGACCTTATTTTTCGATTTATCAGTCTTTTCAAATAATTTTTACACCAAACATGTAACTTTTGATTTCGCGGGTTGAGTGCTGTAATAATCAAAATACATAAGGTTGAAGTTGCTTTTCTGACTGAATTCACTGAAATTAATGAAAATGACTATTTTAAATTTTTTTCATATAAATTTTTCTTTATTTTGTTGATAAAATATGTCTAAATATAATGTTTCCATAATTCAGCAGAATTTGATGACTCAGTCAGAACTTCATGAATTTCAGCAGAATCAGTCGATTCAATCAATTCCAATGTTACCAACACATGATCTATGTACTTAATACTTTATGTCGTTCAATATATTTACTTCTGTAAATGTTTTATGTTTGCTTATTTTGACTCCATACTTTGTAGGGTTTTTTAAAAGAATATTACTAAAATAAAACTTATTTACATAAATAAGACTAGGGAAAACTGTCAAATAGGTCCTTGTACTTTTGCAAAAACGTCAATCAAGTCCTACTACTTTTAAATGAATCAATTAGGTCCATGAAGTGTAAAAAGTTGGTCAAATTAGCTATTTTGCAGGTAGTGATCCGGTTTCCCGGTTGACAGGTGACCTGGTTGTCCATAAATGTCCATTTGGCATTTTCTTTTATAATTTTCTTTTATTTTTTAATCTTTCTAATCTTTCCTTTTCTCTTTCTTTGTCTCCCAGTGCATTCTTTCTTCTCCGGGATGACCCTATCCACATTTCCTGACCTTTCTTTCTTCTCTGGCAGATCGACCTCCACCACCGGCTGACGCCTGACAGCCTCCATCTCTGATTGCAGATCCATCTCCACCGCCGCGACCTCCGCCACCCCTACCTCCATACCCATCAACTCCGCCGCCTCTACCTCCACACCCACCACCTCTGCCGCCCCTACCTGGCTACATCCATACCCACCACTTTTACCGTCTTGCCGCTGTTAACCCCATGTCCACCACCTCCGCCGCCGTAACATTAAACACACCAATTCCGGCGAGTCAGCTCCTTACCTCCACACCCACGACTTCCGCCACGTCGACGTCCATACCCACCATCTCCGATCCGCCGCCCCTACCTCCGTATACTTCCATAGCCAAAGCCTCCCAGGCAGTCTCATACCCATCTATGTTAGGTGATGGAGACCAAAACAAGGGCAAGGAGGGACTGAGAGTTGAGAAAACAAAGAAAGAAACAAGAAAGAAGAAAAAAGAAAAGGAGAAGAAGAATGGGGATCGGAAGAAGAAGGGGATCTGGATCTGCCGGAGAGAAGAGGAAAAGACACAAGTATAAAGAAAGGAGGGGAAACTAGAAAGAAAAAGAAAAACTTACAGAAGGAAAAAGCGTAAAAACTAATGGAAACAGTAAAAAAATTGTCATGCTAGATGTCTATGGACCCACCAACCGGGAAACCGGATCATTGCCGGGAGAATAGCTAAATTGGTCGATTTCTAATACTTCATGGACCTAATTGATTCACATAAAAGTAAAAGGACTCAATTGACTTTTTCATTACTATAACGTAGTGTTGTGGTAACTTAAGTTCAAAACTTGAACATGAATTACTATGATTTCATTACTACTCTATTAATTAGTCATATTTTTGTAAATCATCTTTATGTTGGTCATATTTATGTAATTATTTCTACTTTGTATAAATTTCACATATCCCAATGATCTCAATTAACTTAAGAAATATGTTGTTCCCCGTGCAACGCACGGGTAAAAGACTAGTGTTACCTTTAAGTATTTTTAGTGTTTATTCCTATATAGTTATGTATTCATTTTGAGTTACTTTTATTCCTAGATAATTCATTCCTTCTTTTATTCCTAGATAGTTGGACCGATACAGCAGTCTACAACTTGAAAAATGAATGAAGTTCAAAGAAAAAGAAAAATATACTACGGAGTATTGTATATATAATGAAAATCCAGACATTTGAACAACAGCTTTCATAGCTCAGTTGGTTAGAGCACCCGTTTAGTAAGCGGGAGGTCTTGAGTTCAACTCTCAATGAAAGCAGTTTTGAAGACTACTTATTGTAGTTTTAATGAACAAGCGTACTACTAATGGCTTGAAACATTGGTAATTTGGTAGCAAAGCGCAGTTTTACTAATATATGGTCTATTCCATTCACAACGAAAGCAAACTCTCCATATACTGCGAAAGTTTTATGTGAACTATCTAACATTTTAGTAAAATACTCCAGAAAAAGAGATAAGTGGACCAATGTCCATTTTTTAGTTCATAAATTACATCTATCATCAGTCATGTATGTGACCTTTTTTTTTGGTTATTTTTGGCAATTCTTGTTAAATCACATTAACTGATTAACTGGTAGCTTAGTTTGATGAAGTTATACTTTCGTTTTGGTCATTGTTTTTGCGACTTACAGTAAAAAGAAAGCTTACCATGTACACAAGTGGCAGTAACCTTTTGCTAACTGAATAGCTAGGAACTTTTATGATTTTTAATAGTATCTTACAAGCATGCAGTTTTGTGTTTTGCTTTGGTACAGTACATATTTAACAGCAGGAGCTGACAACAGTAGGTACTTCAAAATACTTGACTTCCTTAAAGAGAAGTGAATTTAGCATCTGTCATAGCAAGAGAGAGATGCACTTGCAAGCTTTGAAATGCAGTGCGGACTGCGGATTACTCACACCATTCTTGCAGCGTAGGAGTCAGCACTCCAATATTTTTCATGTCTGATATGTTTGCTGTTTGCAAAATGAAAGCAAATACTGTAAGCAGTGCCCTTTGACAATCTCCAAGTACAATGCAGCAACAATACCATAAGGAAAATGTATATAACTTGTAGTAGGGGTGGACACTTTTAGTCCTTCAACTATTGTGTCATAACTTGGTACTCCAAACTATTTCGGTTGGACACTTTTAGTCCTTCAACTATATCATGTATTGTGTCATGATATCATTGGTACTTGTCTTTGAACAGTTTTCACTTATAATCCTTCGTTTATTGTGACATAAACACTTGAACCTTCGTCTTTTGAATTTGTTCACTTTTAGAAGCTGTTCTCTTCGCCTGATCTGAATGTTTCTGATCTGAATTTTTTAAGTTCTGATCTGATCTGATCTGAATTTTTCTGATCTGATCTGAATCTGTCTGATCTGATCTGATCTGATCTGAATCTTTCTGATCTGATCTGATCTGATCTGAATCTTTCTGATCTGATCTGAATGTTTCTGATCTGGTCTGATCTGATCTGAATGTTTATGATCTGATCTGAATCCTTCTGATCTGATCTGAATCTTTCTGATTTGATTCAAATATTTCTATAATAAGTATTACTCCATAAATTATAATTATAATATAATTATAAGTATAATTATAATTATTATAATTATAATTAATAATAATTATAATTATATTAAAATTAATTATAATATTATAATTTATTAATAGTAATATAAATACAATTAATATTATTATAACGATATTATTAAATTAATATTATTATTACAATAATATAATAATAATATGATTATTATTATAATTAGTATTATATTATTATAATATTATAATTATAATTATAATCATAATTATATTTATGATTGTAATTATAATTATAATTATTATAATTATAATTAATTGCAATTATAATTATAATTAATTATAGATATAATTATAATAATTACAATTGATTATACTTATAATTATAAGAATTATAATTGTAATTATAATTATAATTACATATAATTATAATATAATATTATAATAATATTAATAATAATAATAATAATAATAATAATAATAATAATAATAATAATAATAGCCTTCTTAACAATTGCATTTATATTACTATTATTATATTAAAATATTATAACTATTATTAATATCTTTTTTTATCATATTATTATTAATGTTATTAATAATTATTATATAATAATAATCATAATAGTAATAACAATATTAATAATAATAATTAATATTTAATATAATAATAAAAATGATAAATCATGTTTGAACTTTTCTGATCTGATCTGATCTGAATGTTTCTTATCTGATCTGAATCGTTCTGATCTGGTCTGATCTGATATGAATCTTTCTGATCTGATCTGAATCTTTCTGATCTGATCTGATCTGATCTGAATCTTTCTGATCTGATCTGATCTGATCTGAATTTTTCTGATCTGATCTGATCTGATCTGAATTTTTCTGATCTGATCTGATCTAATCTGAATAAAATAAGAATAAGCAATAAGTAATAAGAATAAGACGAACAGAACAACACCTTAGTCCCTATATATAATGAAAATTACACTCAATCATTCAATTATTGTCATAGTGACACTTCTTGTCCTCCACCTATGGTGGGAAAATCATAAAAAGTTAAAGTGGAGTAATGAAGTATCATTGACACAATAGTCGGAAAGTGGCCAAAACTATTTATTCAGCCATTCAAGTGCATTATGTTGTAACTATAGAAGGATAATGTGTATGTAGTGCTACACTTTTAGTATAAAGATTTTATCTAATGCAAATTTTCTTTAACAAATCGTTAAACTGGGAAAATTTTAAGAGTGTGAGAAGCTGTTCTGTTCATCTTAATCTTATTACTTATTACTTATTCTTATTTTATTCAGATCAGATCAGATCAGATCAGAAAAATTCAGATCAGATCAGAAAAGTTCAGATCAGATCAGATCAGAAAAATTCAGATCAGATCAGATCAGAAAAGTTCAGATCAGATCAGATCAGAAAAATTCAGATCAGATCAGGAACATTGAGATCAGATCAGGAACATTCAGATCATATCAGGAACATTCAGATCAGATCAGAAAAGTTCAGACATAATTTATCCCTTTTATTATAATAATTATAATAATATTAATAATAATAATTATTATCATTATTATTCTTGTTGTTGTTATTGTAATTATTATTATAATTACTATTATTATTGATATTATTATTATTATTAGTATTATTATTATTCTTATTATTATTGTTACTGTATTATTATTATTATTATTATTACTATGATTACTATGATGATTATTATTACTATTATGATTATTATTATGATATTTATTATTATCATGATTATTATTATTCTTATTACTATTATGGTTGTTGTTGTTATTGTTATTAGTTTTGTTTTTGTTATTATTATATTATATGAAGTAATTACAATTAAAATTATAGAAATAATTATTATAATTATAATTAAAATTTTAATTATAGAAATAATTATAACTAAAAACATAATTACAATTATATTTATAGTTATATTTATAACTAGTGTAATACATATAATAATAATTATACCTATTATATTTATGATTATAATTATAATTATAATTTTTATAATTATGATTATAATTATATTTAAATTATATATGTGTAATTACATTTATAATTATAGTAATTATAATTATAATTATAGTAATTATAATTATAATTATAGTAATTATAATTATAATTATAATTTTATAATTATAATTTTAGAAATAGTCAAATCAGATCAGATCAGAAAGATTCAGATCAGATCAAAAGGATTCAGATCAGATCAGAAACATTCAGATCAGATCAGGAACATTCAGATCAGATCAGAAAGATTCAGATCAGATCAGAAAAATTCAGATCAGATCAGATCAGATCAGATCAGAACTTAAAAAATTCAGATCAGATCAGATCAGAACTTAAAAAATTCAGATCAGATCAGAACTTAAAAAATTCAGATCAGAAACATTCAGATCAGGTGAAGAGAACAGCTTCTGAATCTGTGATCAGCTTGAAAAAAATTGAGCACATAATGATTATTGTAAATTCCAAATTATGGAGATGGAACAGGTAGAAGTAATTTATTTGCATACAAGCATGAACTTCATACGTTGCAGCAGCCGTTGCATCAACAATAACAGTTACCGGCTGATAATTCCATGAAACTGCATCAAACACCGTTTGTCTGATACAATTTGGAGTTTGGACACCTAAACAGTAGTAGAAAACAACTGTCAAACAATCAAATTTAAATAAGCACACTAACATACTACGCATAAGAGTTGGAGCACGAGTCTCAACCTTAAAAATCTAAGCATCAAGTTAAGTAAGTCCATCTCTGATACAGCGGGTGATATGTTTTAAGTGCTCCACACTGGATATTTTCTAGTTCTGTGTCTAATTTATTACTCTTAACTTCTATCTCAAACTCTTTTTCAAATTATGCTTTACCAAATAACATTTAAATGAATGTTAACGATTAAAATTTACATAACTTACAAAATGCAGTTTTTGTTTTGTTTTGTAAAGATAACAAAGGTTCTATTATTAAACGGTTGAATTGTGTAAATCAAATATGATAAAAAAATATATGTTTTGATACAGACAACAAAAAGAAATTACATCGACCACATAACTAGTGAAATTCGAAAAGAATTTGGGACAAAGGTAACATGAGGCAAATCTCACATCTTGAATAACCTGTTGACGAAAGTTAGGTTTGATTTAATATGGTATTAGGGTTTGATCCAACTGTATAGCCGACCCCAATATCATTTGGGACTAAGGCTTGGATGTTGTTGTTGTTGTTGATTGACACCATGGTTTGGAGTAGCCCATTTGAGATCGGTTTAGTCTATTAACCGCTCAATGCATTTGGATGGGATGCGTGCTAATTGCGTCTCACAGCAGATGTTCAACAAACATGTTCTCAACATATAAATGAGGTAAACATCACCTGTTGTTTTTAGGTGAGTTACCAAATTTAATAATATGTAGGTAAACTTTGACAATCTCTATTTAGAAAACGTAAATAGAAGTCAAATGACACCTGTGATGATTAAGCTGGTAATGGCATTGCTTTGGAGATACGAATGCAGGTTTGTGTTAAAGAAGGCACTGAAACGCGTCTTTACCAACTTGTACTCGCCTTCTTTGATGACAAGCCCTTCCACAAGTTCGGCACCCACACTCCCCTTGGAAGTTGGTTTCGGCTTCCCAGGGGAGTACAAACCTCTTCGAAACAACTCCACATCTCTTCCCCATGGATCATGCTCACGGACAACCTGTTTGTTTGAAAGAGGTAAATTTTGTTGAATAACTTGATGTGCAAACTTGACGACTTTGTGGTGCCAAATTATCTAAAGGTGTACTTGAATATACTAATTTTGAACTTCAAAAAGTGCAATGAGTGGTCCCTAGGGTGTTAGATATGTCATTTATCGTTCTATATGTTAAGTATTCCCATTCAGGAAATAACATAGTGTAAGCTCGTGTTTGACCTCCCGGAGCTGTTCAACTGGCTTAAATCTAGGAACCAAAGTTCTCCTAGGTTGATAATTCAAATCGCTGCCATGGGAGATTTACTTGGTCCTTAACTTTAGGGCCTGCGAGATTAATCGGGTCAAATTGGTCCCGGACACCCACGACATAAGAAAAAGATGGTGTTTGATAGAAAATATACATATAAGAATGAAAAATACAAGTGTTTGGTAGTAATGCTCTAAATCCAATAATACTGAAGCAGAGCTCCTAGAAAATAACATAATCAACTTGATGTTTAAACCCCAACCAAATCTTATCTCATCTTCTCTTTCCATGAGGATACAACATGTGAGTAATATTCAGAACATTTCACAATTACAATAGCATACCAATATTTCAAGGATTGTGGATAAAGATAAAAACTTGGAAGCAATCAAGGAAAGAAGCAAGAACAAATTATTAAGATGTGTTGAAAAGGGTACCCAAATAACGGGGATGCCACGGTTTCTTGCAGCCTCAACAGCCTTAATAACGTTGGGGACGATGTCTTCGCCACCCCTGACGTACATAGGACCGCCTGGTAATATGAAATCATTCTGCAGAACAATAAAATCTCTAAAAAAATTGAGTGCCAGAGAGAAAGGCAGTGCGAGATTAAGGCAAAATACCTGCATATCTATAACCAGAAGAGCGGTGGTCCTCCATTTCCCGAGGTCAGAGGCAGCCATCGCAGCTAAACGGACGCTCAGCAAAAGCGCATCACATATTCACTTGAGCTGAGACCATATTTGCGTTTACTCTTTGACAGAAACCATATTATATTATTTATGATTAATCGAAGTATAGTTCAAGTACAGCAGTACAACACTATACAACTACTAGTACCTATCTAGCACCTGTACGGGTACGCGGAAACACGGAAACAGGTACAGGGACATGACAAAAAAAAAGTAGGATACGGATACATGATCATATTTATAAATAGTAAAAGTTATGAGGTGTATTTATAAATATTAAAAGTTACAGGGGTGTATTTATAAATATTAAAAATATAATTTTTTTTGAAAAAAATAGACATATATTTTCCTCTGACGTCTACTAATTCATGGCATTGAAGCATTTTACATTTTCAAGATACTTAAAAATAAGTTCATATTTTATCTCATATACACTAGTGCACCTCGAAATATAATCATATCAATAAATCATTAATTTAAAATGAGAAATAAGTCAAACAACTACAGTTTTGAAATTAAAAGTGAAAGTACTCAAATTTCTAGAATAATGAAGATAGAAAACAATATTTTAAAAGTTCAAATACATATTATCGTTGGAGCTATTAATTTCCAGAGATAATTAAAATTAGGGATAAGAGGATGGGTGAATTAGGAATATACCTATTAGTTGTGTACCACATAAAAACAAGGGAAAATTATTTTTAGTTTTTCATTTTTTAAGAATTCTATTATGTTAATTTTGAGTTTTTTTAAAAAAGTTTTTTTTGGAAGATTTTTTTTAATGAAGTTGATATGAGTATCCGAAATTTTAAAATAATTACCAGAAAAATTGGAAAATTTTAAAAATTGCATATACGGCCCAGGAACGTACAGTACGGGTATCCTAGAGTATCGGATACAGGAACGTTTCCGACACGCTGATACGACATCCTGGGGAAGTATCCGTGCTTCATAGACTTCATAGACGAGTACTATACAAGGAGGAATTTAAAACAAGGCCTTTAGCGGCTCTAACTAATGAATGATTGACAAGAAATGATGATTGCCTTTTTTTTTGGATGAAATGTAAATATATATTAACATCCAGAAAAACTATACATCAAGATCTCCTACCCCCCACCCCCCACATAGTGTGAGGGTGAGAAGAGATTTTTCTTTGATCTACTCCATGCCAAAATAACCAAGTATAATTACTCGGCCCATCAGAATATAACTCAAAAATACATCGGTGCCGCACATGCAAGCACACAGATCAGAGACTAAAATCTAAGAATTACACAGGTGTTGCAAGAAACAAACACCCAAAAACCATCAAGGATCTGGTTTATGCCGCAGCATAACTAGAGCCCATGCCTTGATCTTCTAAGTTCGGAATCCAGTCCTGGACGCTTCTCCATGCCACAAGATCGATAAACATACATGCTGTGTAGTAGTAGAGTCCCTAGGCTGCGACATCCATAATGTCCATGCCGCGGCATATGTGTAACATGGAGCCACGTCTAAGTAGCAAACCATGTCCATACCGGCAGTCTTCTATGCACCATGGCTCCCAAAAATTACTTTATGTCCACTTCTAAAAACAAACCAACTCATGCGGGTAGATACTGAAAAGGATCTTGTACACCACATGTTTGATCTTCATTATAATATCTTCTTCGGTCTTCTTGCCATCATCAAATCTGATTACATTCTGTGCATGCCAAATGTAGTAGACAGTTGCACAAAATGCAATTCGAGCTGCCTTAGCCTTCAACTTCGAACCTTTGTGAGTCTTTGTGATCCATTTGACTGCGCTAAGCATTGTCGTCATCTCATGCCGTAGTCCCATCCAGTTCCGGATATGCTGCCATACCTTACAAGTAAAGGGGCAAAGGAAAAAAAGGTGTGGTATTGTCTCCAAACCATTCTTGCATAAGTCACACCGGTTCACAATATGGAGATACCTGAGGCTATCCTGTGTAGGAAGCCGATTTCTCAAAGCCAACCATACATTGAACGAGAATTTTTGGGGGATGTAGGATTTCCATATGAAACTCATAGGTGTCATAGCTCCACCCTTAACTCTCAACAGCTCATAAACCTTAGCGGAGGCTAATTTACCATTCGTGGCGCGAGAACTAAGTCCCAAAATCATATCATTGTGGTTATTAAAACCAGACCGAATCCTGTCCCGAATGAGACTCAACCGCTTCATTAGCTGTGAGTCTCGGGTGTGTGGGACAAAATCATAAACCTTAGAAATGATGATTGCCTTGTATTCACGAATAGAAGCCAAATAGAACAAGTTTTTTAATTTATCTTGACCTTGGGAGAAATAATGGATTTTTTTTGGAATACCCTCTTTTCAAATTCATATTATCAAATTATCCTTTTTCTTTTGGAATGGTCAAATAAACCCTAGAACTAACTTAAAAGGTGCAATTCATCCCTTATATAGGAGGCTCTATCCGGCCATCGCCAATTGGGGCGGTTCCCGATGGAATATTTTGATGAAATTTTTTGAACATCTTTTTCATTAAGTCTAGTTACTCATATCAAATTTCAACTAAAAATTCAATTATAAAGGCAGTTAAATGAATTTTTGAAGATAACTGCACCGTTAAACAGCGCAGTACATTTCAGAAAATTATTTGACAGTCTTCCCGGTTGAATTTTTATCTGAAATTTTGTATGGGTAAACTAGGCTTAATGAAGAAGATGCTCAAAAAAATTTATCAAAAAATTCCACCGGGAACCGACCCAATTGGCGACGGGCGGACAAAGCCTCCTATATAAGGGGTGAATTGCACTTTTTAAGTTAGTTCGAGGACCTATTTGACCCTTTAGCCTTTTCTTTTTTAATAATAAAAACATGTAAAATCACAGAATAATTTATTTTATTTTACTGTGTCGAGTTCGAGCCAATTCTACTATATTTGATTGTGTTACAACTTTAATTTATTTTATTTTACCATGTTAAGTTTGAACCAGTTTGACCTTGTTCTACCGTGTTCGACCATGTTTGACCATGATTTACTATTAATAATTAGAACACTTATTCATGATTTATTTTGTTCAAATTTCATCCATATTTCCTATGGTTGACACTAAACTCTTCCCTAACATGAGAACTACAATGAAAAGTTCATTGAGAAAGTTTATTAATCATCCCGACCTATTGAATTGGTTTAGGTCCACTGTATTTGGCAAGTACAAATATATACCATATGTCCTTGCACCAATACTTATGTGACCTTTATTTGGTTGAATGGAGCTCATATTCGTTGCTTTCTAAAGGAGTTTGCTTTAATTAGTGAGTTGAACTGCGCTTCTGTTTTTCGTGATGAAAATAAAGATAAAGTTAGTTATAATACGATTTTAGATCATTTTCACCAACTTTGTAGTCATTTAAACCATCATGATAGAGCTAAGAAAGATGAAGCACGATATGAAGTGATAAGAATGACATCACTTATTTTTATAGTGATGGTTCTTTTAGTCCCTACCAATAGAGACAATTACATACTTGATTGGATCATCGAACAAGTCGATAACTACTATTTAGAATTCTACCTCATAGGGTACATGGGCATTTATGGAGTCTCTGAAGTCATTGAAGAAGAACTTAAGAAAGAAGATGGATGAGATTATGCATCAAGAGGTGATTCCAACATTATGCTATACAGGTTTCGTAACTCCGATATCGGAGAAATACTTTTATTATGACTATTAAACTAAAAAAATTATTTTTAGTATTTGTTGAATTAATTATTATTTGAATATATCTTTTTTAGATCATGTTGTTGGAGTGTGTGCCGGACTTTGCTTGAAAAATTTGCTTTCAAGCAAAAGCAAATTATTCCTATCTCTCCCCGTATTTGTCATTGGAAGCCGAAAAAGATAAAGAAGAATTTAAATAATCAGGATGTCTAGGAGATTGTAGAAGGTGCAAAAATAAGTCATATTACAAATTTCATTCATTTATCCATTTCAGATAATTTTGTAACATATTCGTATAAGTTTTGCCAAACACAGTAATCACCCTGGATTGATCAACTGTGGTCAAACTTGATCGACCATGGTCCAACCTAGCCGTAGTAAAACATACTTGTATTCTAATTACATACGAAGTAATTTTTTAACTCCAGAGATGTTGATTTTTTTTCTAGCCGTAGTAAAAACATAATTTTTTTCTTAGAAGTCCTATTAGTGTAATTTCCCTTTTATTTTTGAACTAAAATGGTCCGTGTCAAGTTTTAATATTCGATAAAATATCATTTGATATTGAACTAAAAAAGCATTTCAACTTCTTTCTGGTGGAATAGGAGTGCAATAACTTAAGTCAAAGCTATGAAAGTACTTAAACTTGTTTTAATGATGGAGTGATAGTACATCTTCAAATATAGATGGATAACTTAGGAAAGATGATTAAATAATTTGTTAATTTTTAGTTTAAATTGTTTAAAAATGGGAACATGTCAAAATATGAGATGTTTTATAAAATTATTTTTTTTTTTTTTAAAATGTTTAACATTTGTAATATTTCACTTGGAACATATTTTAAAATGTTGTTAACTTAACAATCACGAAATATGTGATAAATTAGTGAAAATGTTATGTATTGGATTTATGGGGGCTTTGACAAAATTAATTTTAGTATAAAATGTGATGGTACATCAACTTCATTTCACGTGTAGACTTATCATACACCAATGTTTACAAGATTTACATAGTTGGTGAAAGTACTGATTCTACAAAGTACAAACACAAGTTGAATGACTTGTATGTATACCTTTATTCCATCAAAGACAAATTGGAATACTTTATGAGCTTCTATGTAAGCTCATACTAGTATATTCTTTACTCTACCAAAGACAAACCGAAGTATCAAATTGACACTTAGTAAATATTACTGAAAAAAAGACGAGAGATTCTCAAAGAACAATTGCTCTTTTTTTATTTCATACATTTGCAATTACTTATGTATTTCAGATTCACTGTTACTTTGGTTTTACAATTTATGACTAGATAATAATTTTGATGGGAAAACATGCTTTTGCTTCATTGGTATTTATTTCATAAAAAGAACTTTTAAATTTTGATGAGTAGCTGTTAATTTATATGTTACGGAGTTTTATTTATTTTTATAAATTATAAATAAAACTGAATGGAACCCAGTGGCGGACCCACTAAGGGTCCCACGGGGTCCCGGGACCCCGTGTACTTCCAAAATATTACCTATATATATTCTATATTTTAAATAAAATTAAACAATCAGATTATATGTACAACAAAAGCTACAAACGTGCTAAAAGATGGAAGTGGCAGAGTGGAGTAATGCGTGACTCAAGATGTTTCCCTCTTTGAGAGGTGTTGGGTTCGATTCCTCTTAGGCCCTTGATGCTTTTTTTTAATTTTTTTGAGCTTATTCTTCTAAAAGACCAAAATGTTGTTTTGATTTTAATAAAATCCCTAAAATCATCCCATTTTTCCCCCTTCAAAAAAGCATCACATTTTTCCCCGTTCAAAAATCATCACATTTTTTCCCATTCGATAAAATACATTTTGCATATTTTATCCTCCATATATATCAATTTAATAAAATATTAAGTATATAATGGGTAAACAGTAAACTAATTAAAGTACTATGAACTTTTGAGGGGTGTGAGGTAAACACTCTAAACTTGCATATCTAATATGAATATTCCAAATTTTTTTAAAAAAATTATTTTAGCATAATGGTCATATTTTTTCTGCAAATGTAAAATTACAGTGTTGAGTAAATAATTTAAATATTCTAAGCATTTTTAGTGTGCAATTAACATTATAAGCTTGTTTGTTATTGTTATGTATTTCATATATTAAAGCTTAGATTAATAATTTCATCCTTATAATTGCCCAAAGTATTTTAACACTATAAGCATACATTTATGAAAGACCGACGATAAAGCATACATTTATGAAAGAAAAAAAAAATATTATGATGGTGCTAAGATAAATTTTATATAAACTTTGGGTTATTTTTATGACATATGCATGTTTGGGGTGTTTATCTCTCACCTTTTGATCAGAAGTTTTGAGGTATTTAAATTATTTTCCCCTTAAATAACTTTAAATAATATTTTTCTTGGATTTGTTTCTATTAAAACAATACACATTTTGATATTAAAATTATATAGTCCTGTTAATTTTTTTATTACTTTTTTCAATTGTAGAATGAATTTATATGTAAATGTAAAATGAATTTTATAGGTAACTTTGTGCGTTATACGAAGTACTATGTTAATGTTTTGATGATGTATATTAAACATTATGCTTCTTTAATGTTTTACTTTATTTTTTATTAATTGTATATTAATTAGTATTATATTATGATAAGGACCCCGTGACTCAATTTTTCTGGGTCCGCCACTGATGGAACCAACTATCTTGAATTCCTGAACCATAACGGTTGGTATACAAATGTATTTGCAATTGTATCGGCTCTATAAATCTTAAAAGAAACTAATCTTGAATCGTCATTTAGTTACAGCCAAATTAAGTTTAATCACCTTACAAAAGTGACATTTTGAGTGATGATTTGCCCCGTTAACTACTTATCATGTTTTCAACTGCTTTTATTTCGATAAAAGCCACTAGCAACTGGAAAAAAGGTGTCAATTGTACAAAATATAGACAGTAGGACCAAACTTGCAAAAATAGGTGTCAATTAGTAACTATTTCAGAAGGTACATCCAAAACGAAGAAGAAATTTGGAGGGAGGGGGGAAATAAGGAAGCTAAGGGCCCGTTTACTAACGGAAATATTTTTTTGTTTTCATTTTCTGTTTTTGTTTTCCAGTTTTTTGTTTTCCAAATCAGAAAACTTGTTTACCAGAAGTTTTCAGTTTTTCATTTCATTTTTACCAAACAACATTGACTTAATTTTTGGAAAAAGAAATGCACATAAACGTTGACTTCATTTTTACAAACATTTGAAATAACACAACAAAAATTAACATAAATGTTCCCTAGCACTGAAAGTTCAATAAGTGACATGTTAATCAGAACAAGTTGTACTTGGACATCTCAAACATTATAATCATCCCATATTGCATTTGCAAAACTTTCTCGAATTTCGTGCATTTGTTGTTGTTGAGACATATCAAATTGAAGTGATCCATTTTCACTTGTACTTGCATCCGTGTTAAATATCATATCATCTTCCTCGTACTCCAAAAACAAATCATCATTTCTATCTTGCATGCGAATGAAGTTATGCAATGCGCAACAAGCTATGAGAATTTGAACTTGTCTTCTCAATGGGTAACCACGTGATGTCTAGAATGGGAAATCTTTCCTTTAGTACTCCGAAACACCTCTCGATGACATTACGCACGGACGAATGTTAGTAGTTAAATAAAGCTTGCTTATTGCGGATTCGTCCTCGGCCTCGAAAATCATTTAAATGATAGTAAATGATAGTAAAATAGTTAAATAAAGCTTGCTTATTGCGGATTCGTCCTCAACCACATAGTAATAACCTATAATGAAGTCAATAACAACTACAATCGGAACCCATTTTCATAAAATAGTGACTTTATTAACACAAATTGCATAATTATTGTATCACCACTTGGAGGCATGGGCAACCCGTTTTCGCTTCTTGTAATAGCATCTAAAAATACTCGAGAGTCATTGCACGTTCCCTCCCAACCCGCGTATACGTACGTAAACAACATGTCATGACTACAAGCTACCATGACATTTTGAGTGACCGTTGAATGCCTACCGCGAAACGTCTTTTGTTTGGAAGCGGGTGCTGAGGCTGCTACATGAGTACCATCAATGGCACCAACACATTTCTACAAAATTTGTACACCATTACTAATATGAGTTAACCTAAATATTGAAATAGGTAATTAAGCTTACACATACCTCAAAATAAGGATACCATTTCAGTTTTTCTAAAATTTCCGGTTGCACAGGGCCCCTATTAACCGGTTTTATAACTTCATTGCCCAATCGTGCAAGTGCTCTCACCACACGCTTCACACATAAATGAACAGTTCGCATTGAATGCTGAAAACGCTCTGCACATGTACGTTGCCCCGCCCCTGTACATAACACTAAAAGACCTATTCCTAATTGCTCTTCAGCCCTTAAATATCTTGAATCGTGTAGAACATCCAAATTCTTAAGCCTTTCACATAACATGTGATAAATTAGTGAAAATGTTATGTATTGGATTTATGGGGGCTTTGACAAAATTAATTTTAGTATAAAATGTGATGGTACATCAACTTCATTTCACGTGTAGACTTATCATACACGGATACACCAATGTTTACAAGATTTACGTAGTTGGTGAAAGTACTGATTCTACAAAGTACAAACACAAGTTGAATTACTCGTATGTATACCTTTATTACATCAAAGACAAATTGGAATACTTTATGAGCTTCTATGTAAGCTCATACTAGTATATTCTTTACTCTACCAAAGACAAACCGAAGTATCAAATTGACACTTAGTAAATATTACTGAAAAACAGACGAGAGATTCTCAAAGAACAATTGCTCTTTTTTTATTTCATACATTTGCAATTACTGATGTATTTCAGGTTCACTGTTACTTTAGTTTTACAATTTATGACTAGATAAATAATTTTGATGGGAAAACATGCTTTTGCTTCATTGGTATTTATTTCATAAAAAGAACTTTTAAATTTCGATGAGTAGCTGTTAATTTATATGTTACGGAGTTTTATTTATTTTTATAAATTATAAATAAAACTGAATGGAACCAACTATCTTTAATTCCTGAACCATAACGGTTGGTGGTATACAAATGTATTTGCAATTGTATCGGTTCTATAAATCTTAAAAGAAACTAATCTTGAACCGTCATTTAGTTACAGCCAAATTAAGTTTAATCACCTTACAAAAGTGACATTTTGAGTGATGATTTGCCCCGTTAACTACTTATCATGTTTTCAACTGCTTTTATTTCGATAAAAGCCGTTAGCAACTGGAAAAAGGTGTCAATTGTACAAAATATAGACAGTAGGACCAAACTTGCAAAAATAGGTGTCAATTAGTAACTATTTCAGAAGGTACATCCAAAACGAAGAAGAAATTTGGAGGGAGGGGGGAAATAAGGAAGCTAAGATTCTTGTGGAGACACCTGAAGGTAGACCATTTGTGTATACCCATTAAATACAGAAGTCTCCAGCCTAGATAACCCCAGTCTCTGAAACAATCCATACCTGCCATCTTCCACAATGGGAGGTGACGAACGAGCTGGATCATATCTCCTTTGATGAGTTAACGAAGGACCTGCTACAGGGGGTAGTTCCCAGTATATATCAAGTACTGATTCTACGAATCTGCTGTTTTGAAAATGCTCATTGTAAGTGATTGCCTTATTGCGTTTACTAAAGTCATCCCGCATTTCACCTCTCACACCCCACCATGCTTCAGCTGGCCCACAAAGTTCCTCCGTGTCAACTGCCTTTTCCCAGAATTTCTTCCTTCTTGATCTTATCTTAGCTTCATCGCTTTCCAAGAAGCAACTGTGGCCACCACCTGCAGAGGAAAAATGATATGAAAAAGCAATGAGTCTTGACTGTACAATAAGATATACAACTAGAGATGGCACATGCGACAAAATTGAGTAAATAAGGTGTTATTCCATTCACCCTTTTTACCTATTATTTATTCTTATTTTTATCAGATCACAACAGAGCCATCCACATCAGACCACCAAGGTTTGTGATTAGACATCAATGTTACTATACTTCAAAGTTCAGACGAGAAAATTATAGGGCAGCCCGATGCACAAAGGCATCCTCGAAAGGCAAGAGTCTGGGTAAGGGTCCCGCCACAAGTGTATAAGGGGCAGCCCTTCCCCTATCAAAATTGTAAGAGGCTGCTCCCAAGACTTGAGCCGTGACCCAGCAACACGTTAACTGGTGCGCCAAGGCTCCCTTTCAGACCAGAAAATTATAAAAGATAAAAGCATTCTGATCAGACATAACAAAAATGAGAAATATGTATGTAAGACCATAAAGATTTAGATCTAATCAGAGTAAACCAAAAAGGTTCTGACCAGATCTTTAAAAATCAGATTAAGGGGAGTATCATATATTTTCAGGCAAACAAAACAAGTCCTAAGTTCTGATATGCATGCCTGATGTTATATGAAGTATCATTTACTATCTGTGTTGCACGGAAACGCGGAAATCATGAGGAAACGGGAAACGGGAAACGTCAACTTTTGTTCAAAAAACACTTATTTGGAGAGTTTCCAAAGAGTTTCCGAGAGTTTCCGAAACGGGAAACGTACTCTTTCCCGAGAGTTTCCGTGCTACATAGTTTACTATACATCTAAAATGTCAGTGTCAATATACAACCAGCCTACATATACATCACATATGAGGCATACCCATTATATAGAACTGGTCACATATCTGCCTCAAGGAATAATGATCTCCTGTACCAGTATCGTAATTGTCCTCAAAAACAAGATGCTTGAATCCAGCCTTAAGTGCTTGCTTTAATCTACAAATCAAATAACAATACAAAAAAAACTGATTAGTACTTAAAGAACAATATGAAAAATGAGTGAGAAGATTACTCAGATTATTCCCCAATGGCAAGGATACCTTTTCAATTCATTCTGATGGTCATCGAAAAAGACAATAACTTGACTAATATCTTGTACTCCATGTTTCTTAAGAACTACTTCCCAATCAACACTTCCAAAGTCAACAAAATCTTTTCCGGCAAAGTATGTGCAATTTCCATCAACATAAGCAGGTCCCTTCTTTAGATACCTCAAGGGATGACGAGGAGTCAGAGAAATGATTGGTGTGTTTGGCATTGCTTGTCTCAAAACCCAGGTCGAGTGTCCCTTAAAAGCACCACTCTCAATCATCAAGTCAGGTTTCAACCATCTGGTGATAAACCATAGACCAAAACTATGGTCAAATCCCATCCCATACATGTTGTTCTTGATGGGGCGTGTTTCATATATTGGCACAAACTCCTCCAAACCTTGAAGTAAATCTTTCGTGGTCCACTCAACAGTTTTGCCATGTTTCGATCTGCCTTTAGAGAAAGGATAACACTTAAAGGGTATATATGGATTATAGAAAACATTAGCCAAATCCGGACACAATGTGCAACCTTTTAAAATGAGCATAAAACAGTACCAAATGAGCATACATAACTTACAAAATGAGTATCAAAATATTAAAAGATTCATTTGTGTATGCTCATCCATTTTGGGCAGGGGTAAGACTGAGTACATCCAACCCCCTTACCCCACCGAAGGTGTGGGAGCATTTGCGGCAATGGGTTAACGATGATGATGAGAAAACACTAGCCAAATATTGCAAATTAGTTGAACCAATTTAAAGTGTCTTTGACTGAATCAAGAAAGGGAAAAATTTTATAGTTGTGAAATTTCATTTCATTTCCCTTTTTCACATGAAATGGAAGGATGGGCTATTTACGTGTATAGCTATTCTAAATGCATTGCATCATGCTGCATAGAGCAACTGAGCAACAGGGAAGCTAAAAGCTAGATGCAATCCACGAATTCATTTTATGCTTTTAAAACTTCGGTATAATCTTTTATTAAAATTTTCGAACTACAAATTGTACTTTGCATTGAACATCATATTGTTCTAATCAATAAAACGTCATAAGCAAACAAAATCGTCAGTAATAAAACTTTGCTGACCACAAAGTTCAGCCACATTCATCTAGATATAAATCATCACTAAGCGAATCAAACATAAAAATTACATTTCACGAATTATTAAAAGTCAAGTCCGTTCATTTCTGTCCAAAGTAATAGACTACTGCTAAGAATTTAACCACTTTAATATCCAGATCTGAGAACACATAGAGAGACATGAAGGAGAATAAAGGGAGGGGCTTTACACCAGGGGACACCGAGAGATCCAAAATCGGTTTCGAGGCCGTCGAATCCGAAGAATTGCAAGCGGGAAATGCGGTCGGAAGAGGACGCGGAGATGCAGACCAAATCGCGAGTCCGGAGAATGAAAGAAGTGATTACGACGACGATGAGGGCTATAAGGAGACAGGGCCAGATGTAACCGGTTCGGGTCAGGTAGTTTATGAGACGCATTGGGACGAAGGTGTGCTTCCTGGTCTTGGATTCGTCTCCGCCATCCCCACCTTCACCATCATCGTTCATCAATCCAACGGCTCTTCGTGACGAAAGCACCCTATCTAGCATTTTCACTGCTGTATGTGTATGGAAAGCTCTGCTTTTACTTCATTCCAGTTTTCAACTTTACTCAGAGAGTGGCATGGCTTGCGGCGCACCCCAAGATGTGATCAAAGTGTAGAGACATGAATGTACTTTTCGTGTAGTGTTCAGGCTAGGTAGTTAAACTATGATTAAATGTCAAGAAATGTTTTTATTTAAAAAATCTTTCATACTTTCAACTCATTCGAAAAATTAAGAGCCACTAGACACACACATCTTAGCTTTGCTTGCCACATCAACCTTTTCTGGTTAATATATTTTTAGTAACGTGATGCTCCAATGATTAGCTACAATGTTTCCTTCTTGAATATGCCTGACAAATCAACTAATTTTGAAAATATACATTTTGAATGAATTGATTTATTAATACATAAAAATAATACTTATTCTTAAATACTTTTAAATTAGAAAAATGTTAATCATATTTTTAAAATCATCAATTATCAGGGCTATTATTATTATTATTATTATTATTATTATTATAATTATTATTATTATTATTATTATAACGGGGATAATAGGAAAATGCATAATTTTAAATTAATGCCAAAACATGTATTTTTATAAGTTAAAAAATATGAAATAGGAAACTTTTACAACACATACATACTGAAAAATATCAAATTTAAATGTTTTATTAGAAAATTAATTATTTCTTAAAATTAACAAAGACAAAACATTAAATAAAATAAATATAGTAAACAATATCAATAAAATAAATATAATTAATTAAACAATATATATTCAAAAGAAATAAAAACCACTTTTTGGGACATTACCATTATATTGTAGTACTTTACTTTTCCGTTGGATTTTTAATTAATTTAGTACTCCCTCCATCTCATTCAAAGATTTCCACTTTCCTTTTTGGACGTCCCATATAAAGATTCTCATTTCTATTTTAAAAAATAATTAACACTCTTAAACGATAATTTAAAAATCAAATATTAAAATAATACATTTTAACATCACATTCATCATAGATGACCCCATTATATATATATATCCATCAAAATTAAATTATTTTTCAAAATATACTCGAATAATTTTATTAATAATTGTTCAAATAACCGGACCCTTTTACAATGGGAACCTTTAAGCGGGATGGATGTAGTATATCAATTATTCAATAGATTAAATATATTTGGTAATTACTATTTTAGTTCAAACTTTTCTCCTTTCTAGCAACTAGCTTGTACTGACTAATTTGCTTGCTCAAGCTAGAAGGAAAAATGCACTCCAGTGGTAGGCCAGTAGCTTAAATTTTTTTAAAAATTGCAAGCAAATCCTTAGGAGGAACCATTGGAGATGCTCTAAGAGAATGAGTAAAATCATTACATTTCCATTATCAAGTCATAATAATATCTACATACCACTTAACATTATATTGTTATTATGAAATCATAATGTCAATATCAAGTTATGCCTAATTGATTATTTTTCCATTGTCGGGGTCTTAATTTTTTAAATCAAAATTTTATCCTTATTTTTCAATTAGCCATAATGCCTAATTCAAGTCTTTAATAAATTTCTCTCTCTAGGGCTTGGTGCCGCTGGAGCCTTGTTTTCCCCGCTATTGGATTTTCGAGGAGCAGTCGCCGAGTCAGTGGGCTTTGGTTGATATGATCGTAAGGGGGATGAGTGAGGTGAACACTGCGGCAGTCTTCTACGGCGGCAGTCTTCTTATGGAAGCTGGATTTTGAGAAGCAGGGTGATCGGGCTAAACTTGCAAGTATACAAGTGCCGATGTAGTAATAAAATACCGGTAAATACCGAGTCGATCCACAGGGAAATGGTTGATATTATAAAGTTGAGTAATGAATGCAAAGAATGTAAATGATATATCTTTTTTTCAGGAACTTTACTCTTTGAGATTGGTTTAAACAAGAATGAGAATTACTAAGGCAATCGGGATTCACCTAAATGCTTTAATAGTTATTTGATAATAGTTCTTTCCCAATAATCATGAATACAATGTCGCTAATATATTCTCAACTCCGGTTAAGGCAGCGAGAGTGTGGTTTTCGTTACGTGTAAGTCCCGTTACGGCTTACATTCATCTACCGAAAACCCCGTTGAATATCAAGACATTACACCCGTATCATATAAGACCGGATATATTTCTATTCTCGGTACTATATATGTTTATCCTTTAATGTTCATAGTTTAGACTTCAACGTTAATTGCAAGCATAAACTAATTTTCACATACTTCTATGTTGTACACCATAGTCATAAACAATCAAAATATAAAGGATAAATCACAATTTATTGGTTCAGAACTTTTATCAAACACCTAGTATGCATAGAGGTTCATCCCTAGCCTTAGCTAAGAAATTAGCCTCTAATGCTCATATTAATCACAATACAATATGAAATGTAATGGAACATGAAATTACAAAGGAAATAATACCTAAACACCAATGGTTTTGGAGGTTGAAGTTTCCTCCTCAAGAACTTGAAGAAAATACCAAGAACAAAAATATAAAAGCTATGATTTAATCTATGGAATGGAATGTGTTTGTTTGATGAATTGAAGGCTTTATATAGGCTAAAGAATGACATCTTTTAGTCTATTCGAGCCCAACAATCAGGTATGGAGGAGATATTTGATCAAGAGATGAGGAAGGTGAAGTTTTCCCATCAAAATCCTCTTGCACGTTGCTGTGTTTTAGCAGAAAATCGGACCAACCGGCCCCGGTTGTGTGCTGACCAGCCCTGGTTGAAAACAGTGGTGTTTGTGCGAAAAAACCTTCCGACCGGCGCCGGTTCATGCCTGACCGGCGCCGGTTGTTGCGCCCAAAAATGTGCTTCCTTTCCCTTCTTCCAAAATAGATCAAAAAGTGTCAGATTTTGTCCCGGGATTTTGGGGATGTTACGCTATGAATTTGGACATGATTCCTTCACCAAAGTTGTAGATAATGAAGTCTTCTATCCACCAAAACTTGAATGACGTGATTTTATTCATCCAATCAAACGTTATGGCTAAAACACTGAGAGGTATGCATCCTGAAATCCCACCAGCAACATCTGACTTTGTTGGTTGATTGAGTCTTGTTCCTTTCATATTTTGGCCATGACGTCTTCATAACATTTGTACCTTATTGAGTTAAAATTCACATGAAATTCGAATCGAGTGATTTCGACTTCTCTACAATACGTTATACTCAAATTATGGGCAGAACGTCATCCTCTTGGTCTAAAAAACCGTTCATCACAATGTTTTATGCTTTAGCTCTCATTCTGAAGGTAATTGTCCGATTTCTCTTCTTTTCTTCAACAAATACTTATAAATACTTATGTTAAACACAAGTAAATATAAGGGCTATCACAGGGGTGAATTCCTTTGATGGAAGACATAGTTGATCAATACAAACAGATGGCTATTGGTGAGGACAAGGAGGACTTGATTTTCGATGATGAGGAAGATGAAGAGCAGTCGACGAACGAAGGAAAGGTGATTTTCCCGGTGGTTGGTATGGTTCTTACGGACCGGAAGAGCAAATTTCAGTCCTTCAAGGAATTGATGGCATCTTTGTGGTGACAAGTCAGATGTGTGTCCATTAAAGAAATTGGTGAAAAGAGGTACATCTTTACTTTTTACCATATTTTAGATATGATACGAGTTCTAGATGAAGGGTCTTGGTTATTTGAAAGGAGCTTATTACTTCTCAAAGATATTAAGGCAGATGATATTCCTCTACAGATTAGTCTTCATGAGGTTGAATTTTGGGTACAAGTTCACAATGTGGCGTATGGTTTTATGAATTTAGGCTCTGCTAGCCGAATTGGCAATTATATTGGAAAATTTATTAGTTTTGATGAGAGCCGGCTTGATGAAGAATGGTAGGCCTATATGCAAATTAGGGTCCGTATGGATGTTAGGAGACCCCTGAAAAAGGTACGACGCTGAAAAAGGTGGAGATTAGCCAATGGGTGGATTTTAAGTATGAAAAACTCCCTAATTTTTGTTTTGTCTGTGGAATTATTGGGCATACTGATAAATTTTTCCCAGTAGTGTATGAGGGGGGAAATATCACCTTTAATAAAAATTATGGAGTAAATCTTAGAGCTGGGGTAGGGTGAAAACCAGTCCTACAGGGGGTAACAAGTGGATAATTGAAGGGTCTTCCAGTATTGGTATGGGGGTTTCACAGAGGAGGGACAGTCAGGCAGGGTTGGAAGGAGGCTACTACAGGGACTGGACCTAGCTCTATCAAGGAAGGGAATTCAGTGAGTCCGGAGGAGGGGTCGGGAGAGCAGAAGCGCAGAAGAACCTGGGAGGAAAAGGAAAAGGAGGATCCAGCAGGAGAGGATATGGCACTTGATAGGCAAAAAAACGGGGAGGAGGCGGTTTTCGACCTGTAGATCTGCGGGATTGCCTGAAGATGCGGGAAGGATCGTTTGGCGGACTTGTGGCGGTGCACGTGAAGTTTGAGAGAAATTTCTTTTTTCTGCATGTTTTGTTGTTATTTTATTTAATGAGAGTGTTTTTGTTTTGTTGCTTTTATTTTTTACTGTAAGACTCTTGCATTAAGAATGAGTGATGTTAGGTCTGCTTCAATCATCTGTGGCTCAGGTTTGCCATTAATGGATCATCGAGTTATATTGCTTGTTTGAAGGTGATTGACTCTATGTCTAGTTCGAGGACTGACGGTTGTCTGTGGTTCCTATATCATTTTATTCTCTTTCTGAATGCTAATGCTTTGATTTCAATTTAATCCCCCCCTCTTTCAAAAAAATTGTCAATATCAAGTTAATTATTCGGAGATTGACGGCTATTACTTCATGCATCGTGATTTATAAAATTATCGCAAAGCTAATGGCTAATAGACTTAGGGATCCTAATGGAACCTGGTTGCTACAAATCAACATCCACGGGAGATCTATAATGGATAATATATTGATCGCTTTTGAGACTCGACATTGTTTGAAGCGGAAATACTCAAGGTAAGGAGGTTTTTGTTGGATTGAAACTTGATATAGTAATTCATATGATAGAGTTGAATATGTTTTGTCCATATGATGGAAGCAATGAATCTTACACCAGGGTGGACCAACTTGATACATGAGTTTGTTTAGGTTGTGGATTATTTAATTCCCTTTGAGGGTACTTCT